TAGGTGAAAGAGGTTGTTTCTTTCAGGTTCCTCCCTTTCACGCTGGCTGATTGTTGTCTGTTGTTGTTGTTGCTGTTGGTGTTGGCCAGGAATCTTCATCACCTCTGTTTTATCTATGTTCACTTGAAGTCCTATCTTTGATGCTTCCTCCGCCAGCTTGTTGCCTTTCACTTGCATATCTTCCAGTTTGTGGGAAATCAGACATATATCATCGGTGAAGTCCAGATCCTCCAAGTTTTTTGTGTGAGTCCATTTTATGCCTGTTTCCTCATTGCCCGTTGTCTATGGCATTATCTAGTCTACTGCAATCAGGAAGATCACTGGCGATAGTAGACAGCCTTGTCGCACTCTCGTCCTCACTTCAAAGGCTTTTGTGAGTTTCCCGTTGTGGATTACTTGGCATGCAGCGTTGTCGTATAACTGTTGGATGAGATGTATAATTGTCGATGGGACCCCGTAGTAGCGAAGTAGTTGCCAAATCACCTCTCGATCGACGCTGTCTGTCGAAGGCCTTTTCAAAGTCGATGAATTTGAGTGGTGGAGATGTGACTGCCATTCCAAGCTTTGCTCAATGATGATCCGTAGATTGGCGATTTGATCAATACATGACTTGTTTCTCCTGAATCCAGCTTGTTCCGGTCGGAGTTTTTCATCCAGGTTGGCTTGTTTGATTCTCTCCAGGATGATGTTGCTTAGTATTTTGCTTGGGATGGACAAGAGCATAATTCCGCGCCAGTTTTTGCATTGACTAAGTCTCCTTTCTTTGGAAGTTTGAATAAGTATCCGTTCTTCCAATCCTCGGGTACTTTGCCCTCTTTCCACACCTTCTCCAGCAGTGGCGTCATCAAGTCCGCTGTTGTCTCTGGGTCCATTTTCAATGCTTCTGCTGGGATTCCATCTGGTCCTGTGCTTTTCCAACTTCTAGCATTTTGATTGCATTCAGGTTTTTTGAGGGGTCAATGTTCACTGGTAGTTCTGCTTCCGTTGTTGGTATTGTTGGGCGCGTTGTAGGTGGCGGTCGATTTAGAAGTCTTTTGAAGTGTTAAGCCCAGTGTTTTCTTTGCCTCACTCCTTTGGTGATTGACTTTCCATTGTCATCCTTTACTGGCTTAATCTGTGTCGAACTTTTGCCCGATAGGTTCCTAGTTGTTTGGTAGAGTGTGGCGAGGTCTCCTTTGCCTGCAGCTTGTTCTGCTTCACTTGCCATGGTTTCATAATATTTTCTTTTGTCTTCCCTGGCACTCTTCTTCACTCTTTTGTTCAGTGTATTGTAGCTTGCATTCAGCTCCTGTTTTTGTTGCTCGTCAGTGCACTGGATAATCTTTTGTTCCACTATCCTTCTCTCTTCTATTAGTTTCCAAGTGTCCACAGTCAATCACTGTTTGTCCTGTCTCTTTCTGCCTAGAACTTCAATGCAGGTTTGACTCCACACCGTTTTCAAGTTGTCCCAGTGCTTTTCGACGCCGACCTTTTCGCTGGTGTTGATTTGTGTCTCGGCTTTGTCCTTTATGCTTGCAATGAAGATGTCCTTGTAGCTTGGTCCTTCAGTTTTCGAGTGTTGAACTTGGCTTGTGGTCTATCTGCAGCTCCTGTTTCCCTGAAAGCTTTTAATTTGATTTGGATTGTCCCTTGTACGAGATAGTGGTCTGAGCCAACGTCTGCTCCTCTTCTTACTTTTGTGTCCAGTAGGCTGCGCCTCCACTTCCTTGAGATTGAGATGAAGTCGATTTGGTTTTTGGTTTGCCCATCTGGTGACACCCATGTAGCCTTGTGGATATCTTTGTGCTTGTATACACTGCCACCAATCACTAGTTCGTTGAAGGCGCAGAAGTCGGCGAAGAGTTCTCCATTTTCATTCATTTCTCCGAGAGCTTCTCTACCCATGATGAGTTCTCTTCCTGCGTTGTCTGGTCCCAGTTTGGCGTTCATGTCTCCCATAAGTATTTTAATGTTACCAGCTGGAGTATTGTCCACTGTTGCCTGTAGTTGTCTGTAGAATTCTTCTTTCTTTTCGAGGTCTGCGTTGTTTGTGGGTGCATAACATTGTATAATTGACACTTTCCTTCCTTTGGAGTTGAATCTGGCGGTCATTATCCTGGACGAGATCGCCTCCCATTGCATCAGGGCTTTCGTTGTTGTCGTTGACATCATGATAGCCACGCCCTCGGTGTGCGTGTGGTTATCTTCTGGGTGACCGGAGTAGATCACTGACTCACCCGTTGACAATTTGGTGAGTCCATTCCCGTTCCATCTACTTTCACATATTTCCAGTACTTGGATTCCGTATCTTTTCATCTCGTTTGCGATCTGGGCAGCTTTGCCAATCTCGTACATAGTGTGGACTTTCCATGTCCCCACACAGACTTTTTCTTTTGGCGCAAAGAGATTAATCGTGCTGAAGTTTCTGTAGCAACTTTGTTTACAGGGTGGGGTTGCTAACCTCACGCCTGAGAAAGGAATTATCACATTCAGATAAAGTTTAGAGAGAAGCGACCTTTTGGGTTGCTCCCCTTAAAATCCGAAAACAAGGGATGAAACAATCAGAACCACACCAGCAAAAGGAAAATAATTCACAGCAAAAAGGGCAAAAAGCGGCAACAACGATACAATTCAACAACATGCAATACAGTTAAGCACAGTTAACTAAAATGATACCAAAACCAAAGACTCACTGACTTGGGCCAACTTGAACATATAAATCCAGCAATATATACAATTATAGATATGTGTTATTGTTAAAAAGTCACAAAATGTCAAAAAAAATACTTTGTTATAGGTATGAGTAGTCAGTGATATTATATCAACAGGTTCAGTGTTCGAAAGTAGACAGATTGTAATAAATTCCAGAACTTCGTAGTGAGATACAACAGAGTAATGAGAGTTATATATATATATATATATATATCAGCGAAAACGTAATGCACTTATCGAAAAGCGCGCTGTTGCCGTTTCTGAAAAGCTAATCTATTGGTAATTAACCTATACAGTTAGCTGTCCTGCTTCTACACAACAGCTGGACAGAATTGGTGATAGTGAAATGGAAAATTCAGGACAGTATTTAAATGACACAACTAACTTTATACAGTAAGTACTAATGCATTGAGAGCTGTCTGCTAGCCAAAAGTATAGACAACAAATTACGTCAGTGTTTACGTCCCAAATCGGGTTTATGCGAAAAAACAATAACGAAGCTTAAGTTTGAGGAAGTCACCAACCAATCACAGCAGAATTAACGTGCGCAAATACGATTTGCAGATATATGGCTTAACTTTCTAAGGAACGGTCACAAGCAGTAGTGAAGAACCTTCAGGAAGAAAACAACCAATCAGAAGAGCTTGCTTCTCTGCTAACAATAATGCGAATAGTAATGTACATAAAAATCGATAAATATCTGTTGATTTTCTCAATAAACTATGTGTTACTTGGACAATGTCTTCTGTTGTTACACTACTGCACTGGTAACTTGTACATCAATGATGTGAATCAAATTTCATTTGAGTTATCCGTCTGATTTTACACGATCAAGCTAATTACATTAAATCATTTATATATATATATTAACTGTCATTATAATAGAGGTTTTTTGTATTTCCCAATGAATGAAAAAACAAAACGAGATTGTTTTTACTGACGTTTCGCTATTTAATGCTAATAGCTTTCTCAAAGTATTATTAAACCGGAATTTACAAAATCTCAGCATATATATAACAAAGAGTTAGGGGTGAGAAAATAGACTTAGTTCAACCTAAAAGGACATATTGAAAGTCAAAATAACAATGAAGATTGTTCAAACCAAATATCAAAGGTAATAGTATATCTGTTATTATATCAAAATAAAGTTTACTAACTTGATCATTGTTCGTTAGTCTGGGGTCATTTTTGGTTGTCAAGTTCGAGAATAGGTAAAGGTAACCAAACTAAGTGTAGAATGTGAAATACTTGATTATCGTTCGTCAGTATGAGGTCATTTTGGTTGTCATGTTGGGGAATAGGTAAAGGTAACTAAACTAAGTGTAGGCTGTGAAATACTTGATCATCATTCGTCAGTCTGGGTCGTTTTTTGTTGTCAAGTTAGCGAACTGGTAAAGATAGTAAAATCAAGTGTAGATTGTTGGATTTTGTCGGTGTGTAGAATTATGAAAGTAGTGTGTGTTTACATAGTGAACTTGCTCACCACATTTGCGTTGATTTTGCTACTTCTTGGGGGAGGGTGTTGTAGCCAGGTTAGATTCTGTTTCAGTCCATCATTCCTATTCAGGCATTTTGCATTCCACTTGATATGAAGTGCTTCTGATATTAGACGTTCTTTGTGGTTTCTGAAGTTTTTCTGGATTATTTCAATATTGTCAAAATCAATTTTGTGGCCTGATTCTATAGCATGTAGACCTATGGCTGATGATTTTTGAAGTTTTTCCAGTTCAACTGGATTTCTTGGTGGTCGAAGAGAAGCTCTACGGTGTTCATTTCTTCTGATTTTGATTTCTCGAGATGTTTGTCCGATGTAGATCGCATCACATTCCGAGCATTTTATTTTGTAGACACAATTAGATAGAGAATCTTTCGGGGTTTGGTCTTTTATATGGACAAGGTTGTTTTGAAGTGTGTCCGATGTTTTGAAGAAAACTCTAATGTCGATATACTATTACCTTTGATATTTGGTTTGAACGATCTTCATTGTTATTTTGACTTTCAATATGTCCTTTTAGGTTGAACTAAGTCTATATTTTTTTTCTCACCCCTAATTCTTTGTTATATATATATGCTGAGATTTTGTAAATTCCGGTTTAATAATACTTTGAGAAAGCTATTAGCATTAAATAGCGAAACGTCAGTGAAAACAATCTCGTTTTGTTTTTTCATTCATTGGGAAATACAAAAAACCTCTATTATAATGAATATCATATACCCAATGCCCAAATTTTTTCAAACCGTTAAAAGTGAACTTGGTTTGGATATATATAATTAACTGTCATTATTGTTGCTTTTTTCATTTGTGAAAGCAAACGGAATTTGGATATCTACTTGATCGGTAAGTTACTAAATAATTCTAATGCATATTTATTGAAATAATATTTGCATAATCTAATGTTTTCGAGCGTCAGCTGACAAGAGTTTGACTGACTACATCTTTGGTCATGAGCTGACATTGGTTGCACACACACACACACACACACACACACACTCAGTAGCATCACCGAAGAAACCTGTGGGTAAGAACATTGGAACCCTCTAAAAGTGACTTTGAAGGAGGCGTCTAAGCTAAGAAGAACACACAAGTTAAGGCTTACTTTCTATTGTTAATTGAAGGCTAATTGAGAAAATAGAACTAGCGGAACTAAATATGAACTAATACAAAGATGGACAACAGAGGTAGAATCCTAGTTCAGTCTACAACTAACTGAATAAAGTGGTGAAGGTGAGTGCCAGGAAAGACAAGAGGTAATTCCACGACATACAGACAAATGAAGCAGAACGGACCGCGCATAAAAGACACCTCAGAACATAATGTCAAATAACAGATTAGAAAAGATGAAACCAATAAAAAGGTAGAAATAAAAAACCTAATTATCACGGATGAGGATTTAAAAGCTAACCAGAATCGAATCGGGAAAACTAAGCAGACATTCACTTCTCTAAAATCACTGTGAAAAAGTTTACTGTACTAAGTTCTGCATGTCACCATTGCACTGACGACCCATTCATCACTTCTAATTGGGATTCCACTCGATCGTTAGCCTGGTTATAATACGATGTCATTCGACGGCCTCCTTAACGTATGCTTGATTCCTCTCTATTTTCTTCTACATATATGTTGAGTGATCGGCTGTTGGTTTGTTTTTTGCCTGAGTTCCCCGTTGCTATTTCTCTGTGTTCGGCCATTTGATCTAGAGAATGGATCGAAGGCAGCTGTCGATAAAAGTCTGCCGTAGCCTGTGGGAAATGCTTTTTTATTGACACCTGAGGCAAGTTTCTGATCCATATAGAAGAACTGATGGAGTTCCCATTTGTGTTGAAATTCAGAATCTTTCTTTTTATTCTGATTAAGTGCAGAAGACTTCCAAACTGGTTTCAGACTGATGAAGGCTCATCTTGTCTTTCCAACTCTGTCTGACTTTAACATCGTCATTCAATTCGCTTCTGAGATAAGTGATGGAAGTAACCTCTGTAAAATCTCTCCAGTTGACGGTGATTGGTGCTGGTTGTTGTTGTTGTTGCTTCTGGTTGGCTGACTGGTTATTTTCGTCACCTCTGTCTTCTTTATGTCCACATAGAGTTTTGTCTTCGCTGTCTGCCTCTTCTGCCAGTTTGTTGGCTTTCACCTGCAAGGAAGTATACGAGTTTGTGTGACACTAAACATAAAAAACATAAATCCTAATGCTCTTCAGTTAATGAATTCTTCATTGTCTATCGTTTAAGTACTCGTGTGTATCGATCTAAACAACCAAACTAAAAGTGCTTATGTATTCTTTAGTGTTTACCCTGCTGCTTTACCTGAAGGCATTACCTCACGTTAGTCGCGTTAGATTACATTGCAACATTTTCAATGTACTGTTTTGTATAAATATTCATTTCCATTTTGCAATAATTGGTTTGCGGGAATTTGAATGAGTTCGTGTCTCTTCGACAGTGCAAAATCATAACACCAGCTGGGATAGATCCTGTGACTGTCAGGAGAGCTCACTGAGCATTTACCCACTATGACTTTATCCAACACCCGGCTTATGAATTCTATCTGCTGCCAATTGGTCCTATATGTTCAGTGTTATCGGTGGATATACCTGACTTCTTAACCAACAAGGTCTATCTAAGAGGTGATATGACTTGTCATTAGACGTCTAAGAACTCCATCTGGTGATTCTCTATTAATAGGCAACAGAATAATTTTCAAGTGCTCATTTCAAAGTTTATTTATTATCTAACATGAAATTTTAATTGTTTGAAACATTGCAACATATTGTGATGGAAAAATGTTTTTTTTTTCTAATCATAACTTGGACAGATTTAACAGTAACAATTCCCTAAGGCTTGATTTATGGGGTTTTTTAACTCATGGAAAATTTCCATTGTAACATTTAGAAAATCAAAACAAGTGATTCAGCGAAGAGACTTTTTTCAACGAATTTATCATCAAGCTCTACAGTCGTATATATATATGGTTTTTGAGAAGCTATATCCGATGAGGGAATTGAATCTTAGGTGTGAATGCATAAAATAATAATAATGATATGAAGTGTAATTAAAACTAAAATGTTTGTGGTTATAATAATAGGAGTTTCCTGGAGTTCTGGTGGGAAGTAGTGACCAGTAGGGTTTATTTTGTCGGGAGTGAGGACAAACGCTCGCCAGTGTGATAATACTGGCCGGTGCCAGTCGTACTAAGATCACGAATTGGTAAGAGTTAGAATTTATGGACTTGCCGTTGAGAAGTCAAGTTCCAGTGGCTGATGAATGGTCTACGAGCTGACCTAGTGACCGAAAGGTCTAGCGTTCGAGAACCGTTGGGTGCATGCTGTTGATGAATCCCAAAATAGGTCGAAACAGCCGGCTGTCCAGTACCTCCTGGTTTTCATGGTGTTTCTCTAACTAATACATTTCTCTTGTTAACGCAGAGAGGGCAGTCATATCAGTTGTGAATGCTTAATTCAATTCTTCCGCCTTTCTTTTTTTTAATTTTTTTTCTATATTTTAGTCATTCGAAAAAATCCTCTGCTGAAATTACCGAATTAAAAGGCATCATTAAGATAAAAGAAGAAACTATTAAACTATTAGAGGTAGGCGTTTAATTTCTTTAAAATATTTCTACATACATTAATGTTAATAATAATGATAATCGCACTTGACCAGTCTTGCTTTTGTGATGTAAATGCTGTCTTTCGTCCTGTTTTTGTTGTTGTGTCTGGTGGGATAGTGGTCTAACGTTTTTACAGTTTAGTTAATGTGTACGAACCAACTAATAGACACTATATAGCAATGTTAGCAATCTTTTCGAATGCCCTGTCGACTGCTGTTCCCCTTGATGCAGTGGTTGAGCTCGCTTATCGCAATGAACTAACGAGCTACACTGGCCAGAATGAATGTTCCTGCAAGTTCTACCATGCCAGAAAATTCGTTTTTACTGCTGAGAGACTGAAGGCAGTTAAGATTTTACAATGTGCTGAGGGTCTGAGGGTAAAGTCGTACTCCTAATGAAGGGGGATGTGACAGAGCAGTCAAGTGTTACCTTAAGATGACCAGCCAACCTTGCTATTCTGCCTCTTCACTCTAGAGATGGGGATTTTAAAGAGATTGACCATAAAAAATTATACAACCCTACCTACTGAGAGGCGGTCCGTAGCCAGTAGTAAGATTTTACTACGGATGCAATTCCAAAAACCACCTGAAATATATCCGTGTGTGACCAGCCTTAAGCAGATGTCCCCCTTAGGTTTTGCAGTCAGAAAGCACTTATATTCCTTCTGTTTCAGGCGCCTCAAGAGGGTGTTGTCCACTACCATGATGTGGTAGGCTGGGAAGTTATAACCGCTCACACACTTCCGTAAACACACACACACAAATATTTTCTGACAATCAGTCACCTTAACCAACATCGCATTAAGCATCTGGCTCGCCTGACTGTTAAAACTATCCCATAGGCAGATTTGTCGTCTTCTGATAACTCTGCGACTAGCAATAGCAACGATAGATAGAAAAACTCTACTGATAGTCTCTTAAAATCACGCTGCCAACGTCATATTGAAGCGCTTAATGTCAGAACACTTCACCGATTTAGACAATAGCCCTTATTAGCTAAGACTCTGTCATCTTGAGCCTAGAATGCTTTTTGTGTTTCGTAGACATTCATACAAGACTCATTTGTGGCTATTCATTTAATCTGGATGCTACGTCAACGTTTTTCATCCAGAGCGCGTTTTATTCTCACCATGATGCTGCGGCGTAGTATTTTGCTTGGGACAGACAGAAGCATAATACCTCATCATTTCTTGTATTGACTTAAGTTTCCTTTCTTTGACAGTTTGAGTAAGTAACCTTTCTTCTAAACCTCAGATACCTTACCCTCTTCCCACACCTTCTTCAGTAGTGGTGCCATCAAGTCCGCTCACACTGCTAGGTGTGAATGTCACCGTTTTTGTTCAGTATAAAACTTGTAAAAGTATTAGGCCTATATGTCGAAAATTATATATATATATATATATATATATATATATATATATATATTAAGTGCATAAAAAGCTGGATCCTGTCACACTTGGTCGATACTGGACATCGCATCGACGTCAACACAGCTTTCAGGGCTATATACCGAATTCCGAAGTCGTTATCACGTACAGTTCGCTTACGTCTCCTACACATAGCTGAGGCAGTCGGAATAAGATCGACTAAACCGGAACTCTGTATCCTAAAAAAGGAACACGTCCAGACGCTATTACCACCGTGGCCAACCTTGGATTGATGATTCTTCTTCTCAAGAAGAGTGCTCCTTCCCCTTAACCCTCTTGGTTTTTTTTCCTTTGCTTATTATTACAGTTATTATCATTCATAATTTATGCCCTTCACGCAAACATTCCCTCAATACTATCGAATTTTCATTTATACGGACTTATTATTTGTGATATTATCTCTTTCCTCAATATATGCCTCCACCTGTTTCATTTCACATATTCCTTATTCAGTATGAACCGCTCATTGCAGTCTTACTATCTCCTGTTTAACACAGACCACTTTGTATTAGCCACTCACCTGACACACCTTTTATAACCTTGAACTGTTTTTTTCATCATTCCTACCTCACACTCTACAAATCTATTGTGACTAATCACCACCATTGTCTCCCATTTTACCGAAATATTTTGTGATCGGTCTCAACAGAAATATGACTATTTATTTTGACACCTCATAATTAATCTGCTAGTCTACATTAAAAGTGTATCCGCCGCCGCATAACTGGCCTTTATTGTAACGACCATCAATATTATATTTTATGATTGTAAGGACCTGAAGAGGAGAAATTATTGAAAGGAATATTCTTCGTTCAGATTGAATTTCAATTCAAATATATATATATATATATATATATATGTATACATTAACGTAGAAATGTTAATATGGAACTAACTGAAAAGGAGTTTGTATTTCTTCCCTCAATTTGTTCTTGACATGACCCCTAATTTCTCTTTTCTTTTCCAAATTGTTAGGAAGAGAATGCACGACTGAGTGATTCATTGAAATCAATTCTTCATAATATGAATAAACCGAATAATCTAGACAAAAATACTATGTCTAATAATCTGAGCAGAACTAACCAAAATCAATTGGATACATTTGAGCATAAAATAAACCGATCACTGACAAATGGTCAACCAAAGCTATATGACTCTTCTCGTCAGCAACATCAACATCAACACCAACAGCATCAACATCATCACGAACTGCAGCAGCAGCAGCAACAACAACAACAACAACAACAATTCCGCCAAAATCAGCAAAGATATCAACAACCACATCGTCAAACACCACATACACCTGTTAATCAATCTCCTCCGGTGACAATATCACCATTACAGAAATGTTATATGATGCGATCGCACCACCATACCAGTGAGAGTTCACCGAATACAAATACCAATCCTAGTCCTTATGGACTTGATATTTCCAGTAGTTCACCGCCATTTACATCATCACCGATAAATAGACAAAGTAGTCCTGAGAAATATAGTAGTATTAGTAGTAGTATTAATAATATTAAACGTCAACTCTCTCCAACTGGTAAACGTTTCCCATATTATCAACCCTATATACATTCATTAATGCATCCGAATCAAACGTCAAAATATGATAAGAATAAAAGTTCTAATGATTTGGTGAGTTATCCCGTTTTTTTTCTTTTCTTTTATTATTTAATTCATCATAATTCTTTGACTGAGTAGAACTATTTGTAAGTTATAATAAGATGATTTGAAGCATATAACTGGGGGTTCCGATGAATCCATCTTCAAGCTCTACAGTTAGTTAGTAATAAGCCCATGAATATTAGAAGACAAATAGTCCACCGGATACATGTAGGTTATGGAGTGATAGTACGTTAAATTATAATATTGTAAAAAATGTACAGTCATTCAGAAAATAAGATAAATTGTGAATACTTTTTTTATGGTTTGTTTGTAAAGATTAGTTTTGTTTTTACGAGTTGATCACGAATTGATATCAGTTAGAAAACCCACTGAAAACCAGCTAGGACTACTGTACAGCTGTTTCATCCTAGTTTGGGAATCATGGGGAGTACACACCCACTGCCAATGTTACAAGGTAAGCTCGTATACCACCCAGTGGATACGTACTGCCCATGAATCCTAAACTAGGATGAAACAGCTGTCTAGTAGGACCTTGGTTTCCAATGGTTCTCTAACTGATATCAATCGGTGATTAAGCTCAAATGTATTTATAGTCAACAGAATATAAGTTTCATTTGGGTTTGGGATGGAGGGTGAGTTATATCTACTGGCGTGCGAGGAAAATTATATTATTATTATTATTAAGTCCTTTAATTCCTAGAGGAACATAGGACTTCAGCTGCGTGTCTCCATTGCCTTCCGTTTTACTGCCAACTTTTTCACTCCGCTCCAAGTCTGCCCACATGCTTTCATCTCCTCTTCACATGACCACCTCCAAATCACTCTTGCACTGACGATCAACTCGCCACTTCCCTTTCGGGTTCCACTCGAGCGATGGCTTGTCTAGTGATGTCACTTGATGGCCAATCCATCTCCATTTCTTCCTGCCTATTTGTTTCACAATCGGTTCCTGCTGGGTTGGTTCGCTCATCGACAGAGATCCCTACTGCTGATCTTTTCTGGCTAGCCATCTGATCTTGAGTATTGAGCGAAGACAGCTGTTAATGAAGATCTGAAGTTTGTTTGAGATGTTCTTTATGACGCGCTGGCTGTCTGTGATCCGTATAGTAAGTAGCACTGACTTCACATTGGAGTTGAGAATCCGGATCTCATTTTTGATGCTGAGTAGTGCTGTTGGCCTCCACACAGACTTAAGAGTGATGAAAGCTTGTCTTGCTTTTACGATTCATGCGACGAAAACGCTCACTACAAAATATTTACAAACAAATACCAGCAACAAATGGGGGACACTGAATGTGAGTTCAAGCAAGGGCTGACAGATATCAAGTGTAGTGATAAAATAAACAGGTTAAATTGTGAACTGTAATCAAATACTAGAGATATAATAATAAGCTGAGTGTAAATTACAAATTACATGAAACGGACAATTTATCCACTTCCATAGTTTCAAACCTGTTTAATATAAATGGAAATTGATTCCTTCCATTTTGGGAAAAATTTTATTTTGATAAAGTCTCACAGTGTTATACAGTAAGTAATATTTACTGATGACCACGTTTCAAGCATAATTTATTGCCGCTCATAATCACATCAAGGCAGTACTCACACAATTTTCTAATTTCGTTTATATAATTCCATTACTTTCCATCGCTTCAGTTGATGATTGATAGTAGTATTTTCCAAATTTCCGGTATGAGTGATGAGTCATTGCATTCTATTGCACGTGTTGGGTGTAGACTCGATGAACCAGGAAGGATTCAGTAATCACCCTCTCTCGCTCTCCACCTAATTATATTACTTTCTAGAATTTTAACCCTCTCCCACCATACTGTATGGTTGTGTATTGATGCAAGCAGTGCGATGCAGCGCTGAATTCCTCTTTCTAAAATACTTATGTCTATGGGTTTAATTCTAACCTTCGCTAAATTCTTGTGTTCTGACAATCTGACTACCGCCGATCTAGTCGTTTGACTGACTTATGTATTTTGTAAATCATATTATTATGTCTAATATGGTCAGCCGACAGAGTCCTTTAACCAACAGAGCTTGTCCTGGCTGAGTGAGTTTGTAGGTTTAAATGCCACCACCTTAATTCCTGCTTTATTGAGAATCCTACATGGGGAGGGTCTCAGATGTCCCCTCCTTATATGGTAGAACTGTGGATGCGTTAAATTCTTTCTTATCTATGTTATTACTATTATTAGTTTCCCTATCATTTTCGTTTTGAACTTTTCTGATCTCTCTAATTGATTTTATAGGATAGTTATTTGACACCAACGCTTCTTCTATCTGTTTTATTTCATCATTTAAGTCTTTTTTTGCACTAATTAGGGCTGGAAATGTATGGCACTGTGAAACTTTATCAAAGTAAAATCTTACCCAAAATGGAGTTATACTCTACCACAGTGCACAAGTTCTGTTCGTATATCAATGAAACTTGATTCCTTGTCTTAGTCATATAATTGGGCGAATATGTACTGAGGCTTGTGTTACAGATAAAATCGATAAAATCTTAAAAATAGCCTGCTACAAAATGGTTATCCTACGAATTTTGTAAAGAGGTATATTTCCAAAGGAACTCATAAAATTAAGCGTGACACGGTGAATAAGAAAAAGCTTTATTTAAGAATACTGTTCAAAGAAGGGTTTCAATCGCCGACCGACGCACACCTGATATCACTGGTTGGCCTGCTAGATATGGGCTACCAATGTCACATGTTGAAAATTCCATACATGTATTTTTTTACGAGTTGATCACGGATTGATATCAGTTAGAGAAGCATTGAAAACCAGGTAGGGAGTACTGGACAGCTGCTGTTTCATCCTAGTTTCGGAATCATCGACAGTACTCACCCGATACGAACATAGCTAACTCTCACAAACCAGACTATAGAAAATTAATCTGATGCTCGCTGGTGACTTGCTACAGGTTGGAGTTTCCTGGAGTTATGGTGAGAAGTCGTGACCAGTGAGGTCTAATTAGATGTCATGTGTGTGGATGGATGTCCCACCAACGACAATGGTTGAGGTCGTGCTATATCACGAATTGGTAGAAGTTAGAATTCACTGGGTTGGCCACTGAATCAGGTCCCAGTGGCTGAATGGTATACGAGCTTTCTGGCCTTGTAATCGGAAGGTTTCTGGATCTGAGTCCCAGTGGGTGCGTACTGCCAATGATTCCCAAACTGGGATGAAACAGCAGCTGTCCAGTACTCCCTGCCTGGTTTTCAATGCTTCTCTAACTAATATCAATCCGTGATCAACTCGTATAAACAAAACTAATCTTTACATACCAAACCATATTTGTATCAAAAAATACTGTGTGGAGTCAAGCTATAATTTAAATAAAATATAATAAAAAATAAAGTATTTGTTTGTATAGTTTAGAACTGTTCTGTCAAATTTTGACTACAGTTCATTTGATTTATTTTGCAATCGAATTAAATTAACAAAGAAACTATGTAATTGGCACAATAATCGTGTTCCCACTCTCCGTTGTCTGTAACAGATTGCGTATCCTAAATCCGTAGCTGTCCAGTCACCTGACAACTTCAGTAGGTCGAATAAAGCAGCTCAATTTTCAGAAAGAAGACAAAGTAATAAGTTTGACGGGGTTGTTCAACTAAACTCTAATCTAAGAACACAATTTTCAGCGAAGAGACTCTTTTCAACGAATTTATTATCAAGCTGTACAATCGTATATATATGGTTTTATAAAGAAATTATATCAGGTGAGGGAATTAGGTCAAAGGTGTAAATACATGTCGCCAGTGAGCATCTCATTGATATTCAAGTATTGGTTTGTAGGGATTTGGTTGATTAGTCACAGGATTTCATCATGAGCTGACATTGGTTAGAGAACCATTGGAAAACCTGGTTCTCTAACCAATGTCAGCTCATGAAGAAATCCTGTAACCAATCAAATCACATCCCTCTATAAACCAATACTTGAAAATTGATATACTTCTTATTCTGTACAAATATTTTTTTTTCATTTTATGCGAAATGTATTCAGTTCACCATTTGTTTTCCATATTTTTTCTAAATCTTCTCTTCTTTCTTTTCCCACATGTTTTCATCACTACCAGAAAGGAATATCTTATAGCCTGACACCAGCTCAATCGCAGATTGTAAAAAGTCCAACACAAAGACTACTAATGCAAGTAAGTGTATCATATAAAGTATATCAAAGAGTTATTTCGTTATCCTGAAATGAAATAATCAAATTTGAATTTTTCCGTCGATTTATTTCAGATTTGATCACGAGCTGTCGTCAGTCAGAGAACCACTGAAGACCAGGGAGTACTGGTTTCGAACTCTTCATCAGTACCCACCCCAGAACCTGGGGTGAAACTCAATAACCCATAAAATTCTATCTCCTGTCAATTCACAGTTTTACCAAGACCAACACTGGTCGACATAACTGGCTAATATTTTCCCTCATACCCGACTTAATGAACCTCATTGGACAAAAATTCCCACTAGAATTAGTCCTAAACTAGGACGAAAAATACATCTAGTACACCCTGGTTTTAAAAGGTTCGCTAACTGATATCAATTTATGAAAAGAAAACCTGAGATAGACTGCATCGCTAAAAAACCAACTTTTGGAAATCTTTTGTTGATTGTCTGTTTTACTCATGGGATCAAAATGTTCGGCATCTGTTGATGTGTTGACTCTCAGAATATGATTGCTTCGACAAAATTTCAAAATTAACCTAATGTTATTTGTTGAATTGAATTTTTTGATTTTCCCGTCGATTGATTGGACCGAAGTGCTCGGTCTCAGGTTGACATGTCGGCTTCTTGTGCAGATGCTTCGACGATGTCTGGGTATTTAATTAGTATACAATTGGTGGATGGTGGCTAGCAGTGGAATCCAGGATGCGCATTTCGTCCTATTTGGGACTCGTCAACTGGATGTACCTGCATTTCTCAGTGAGTGATGATGTTCCCACCGAGGCTCGAACCCAGTGCCCATAGTTTCGAACGCCAAAGCGTTATCCACTAGACCACTTGCACAAAAGGTGGCTCTCGTGGCCCAAGTGGTCTAGTGGATAACGCTTTGGCGTTCGAAACTATGGGTACTGGTTTCGAGCGTCGGTGGGAACATCATCACTCACTGAGAAATGCAGGTACATCCAGTTGACGAGTCCCAAATAGGACGAAATGCGCATCCTGGATTCCACTGCTAGCCACCATCCACCAATTGTATACTAATGTTATTTGGTTGATGGTGACTATTGGTGAAAATTAGGACTAGCCTTCTATCTAATTATGTGCTTGCCGGCGGTATGTACTGACATTATCAGTGAGTGTAGTGTCTCCATTGAGATTCACACCCGTCATTTATTGGATTTCTGCCAATGGTTTGAAATTCAATCAGTCGTATATTTCAATTCGTGGGATGTTCATTGATGTCAAGCAGTGTACATGATAGTATTAGATAGTTGGAGGCAATTGGCCAGAGGAAGCCTTGGACCTAGGTTTCGTGCTAGTTGGTACTCACCAGTCAGCAAGACGTATCTGCGACCTTGAAGGAACTCATGTCCCTTCTGAGATTCGAACCCACATCACCCAGTGCTGCAGTCAGAGACGTTACCACTGAGCTATTCGGGCTCGTGGTTGACCTCCTGTAGGACTGTAGTGGATATTTTGATTTGACACTAGTAACTAGTGTGATGCGTCTAGTCCTCTGATTGGTGTAAACTGAATTCTACCAGTCTGGTTGTAATGTGACCACCATTCTAGCTAGCTCGCCATCACGGTGCACATTGATTTGATGGTATTAGATGGTCGGAGGCAATCGGCCAGAGGAAGCCTTGGACCTAGGTTTCGTGCTAGTTGGTATTCATGATAATATTTAGCATCTATGACAGTAAGACAAATTCAGTTCTCTTGTTAAGCACAATTCTTAATATAAAGGAGAAACATTATTTACGACTCTTCGTTTTCCAGTGATTTTCTGACTGATGTAGGTTCGTGACATAGTTCACATTGAAATTAATCAGGATTCTCACAAAATCTGGAACTTTTGAATATTAATCTCATCTGCTCATTAGTGACTACAAAAAGGATGCCCCGAAAATCTAATGAGAAGTTTCGCCTAGTAATGTTTATCATGTTCGATGTAAACCTGAGGCTAACTCATGGTTTCGATTGGCGATAGCACACTATCGGCACGTACTCTTCCTTCCTCCCAAATCTTTTTCAGTAATGACGTCAGCACATCTGCCGCAATCTCTGGGTCTGTTTTCGTTGCCTTGAGGGGGAATTCCGTCTGGCCCTGCTGCCTTGCCTGATAGTTCTCAGTAGCTTGATCGCATTCAGGTGATATTTATGGACGAGTTACATGTGATGGCTTATTCAGGGATCCCCTTAAAGTGGTCAGCCCATTGTTTTATTTGTTTCCCACCCGCTTGGTAATTGGGTTCCCTTGAACATCTTTTATTGGTTTCGTCATCTGGGCTGATCTCTTCCCAGATACAGATCTGGTTATCTGATATAATGTTCTTAGGTCTCTTTCGCCTGTACCCTACCTGTTCTGCTTCTGTTGCCAGTGTGTCGTAGAATTATCTTTTGTCTTTCCTAGCACTCTTCTTTACGTCTTCATCCAATGCAGAGTATATTGAACTCAGATCCTTCTTCCGTTGTCCATCTTCGCACTGAGTCATCTTCACTTTCATCATCCTCCGCTCCTCGATTACGAAATTTCAGATCATACTTTTTTACAATGATTTCTGAATACTAGTGTCTAACCTGCCATCTTGTTTTAGCTTTATTCTACAGTCTAGCGTGGCCAATTCAACCTTTTGTCTTATAACTCAGAAGTGAATTTAATGCTGTCTACTGTTGAGTTTATATGTGTGTGAAAAAATGACAGATATTTTCATATTTTAACGGAGTGAATGTGTCATCCACGTATCTCCACCATAATCCAGGAGCAGGACTAAACGTTCTAAGAGCTTCATGTTTCCAGCTGCCCGTAAATATGTCCGTTACTATTTTGAATATTGGTGATCCCACTGTCGGCCTATTCGTCTGTTTATTTAGTTTATCCTGAAATTCGAATTCGGTAGAGAATAGACATAAGTGAACACCAGGGACCAGGATGATCACGAATGCCCTGCCCCCAGGTGGAGGCTCGTCTTTGCATTTCGGTGTATTGAAGCCTACGACGATCCCTGATCTGCCTCGCTCGGACGCATAGTTTTTGATAGTGGAGAGGTCTTCGGATCATCCCTTTATGGCGTCGGTGGCACAGTGGTTAGGACTCTCGGCGACCATGCACATGGTCCGAGGTTCGATCCCCCACCGAAACACACCTAATATCTATGGTCAGCCTGCAAAATTTGGGCTACCGATATCCATGCTGAAAATTCCATACTTGTACCGAAAATGTGGTGTGGCATCAAGCTGTAATCAAAAATAAATATTATTTCATCCACAGAGAGCTTAGTCCTATTTTTGATTTCAGGTTTAAGGTACAGTTGATTCCTAACTGCCACCAGATTAGTTAGTTAGCCTAGAATTCGACCTGTCTCCTGTGAGGCATAACTCTGTTGTTTATATAAATGTTTAATAGCATATTGAATTGCGTTACATTTTGCTTTTTTTTATTTTAGAGTTTGCCCACTGGCAGTTATTAATCGGAGAAATATTATCTTAGCATCAATACTCTGATGGTGACAACGCTGACCACTTTTCACATGCCAGTAATCAATGCATAAATATGTTCTGCCCAATACATAAGATAGCGACATTTGAAAGAGTAACAATTAAATAAACGTGCAAGCAAGCAAACAAGTAAACCCTGTCAGTAGCTAACAAAGCGAAGTTTTATTTCGAAGAAAGTTTTCAAAAATCAATTGATCAAATCAAATAGCCTTCTTTTCCCGTATTTCAATCAATTTAATTTAACAAAAAGTAGCTTTTGTTCTCTTTAGTCCAATACCTCTTGAACAACAAGTTCTTCTGCTTCTATTACTCTTTTGACTACTTATAAGAATAATAGTAGTGTAGTTTTAATACCGTCAATTTTTGTTTTCACACTTGATGACATCAAGTAATCAACTCTATTACCTCTCAGTGGTTTGATGACAGCTGAAAGTGTGTGTGTTTGTATGCTGAGCTTGTCATCTGTTCAGCAACAAAAATACTATTTCGAAATTTTTTTTCTCTTTTCTCAACCATTTTTAAAAGGTTGGGAGCAGTAATCTGTGATAACACAAAAACCAAAAATAAAAGTATGTACAAACATTTTTGAAAATAAGCAAACAAACAAAACACAACTATTTCGACTTTTCTAACAGTGCAGTAATTTCATTTTTCAACATTATCATTGTTGTTATCAGTAAGCTGGTGTTTATATATACTACTCATATAATTATGAGTAGTTATTACTGGTATTAAGGGAAAAGAGGGGAAACATTATCCCCGCAACCTCCGATGCCATCAGCCTTTTATGTTACGCCATTCTTTGCTTTATTTTTCACGCATCCATCACTTAACCCCCAACTGGTCACCTTCCTTTCTTGTTAACGCTTCCTGATCATATTCAGGTCAAGTTGCCCTGACATTTTGTTTTTATACAAGTTGTCTGCGTCTTTTTAGACTATTTTTCGATAGTGATAAAATGATGTTGTTACTGGGCTGTGTAGCCTACAGTGTAAATTTTTTATTATCGTCGTTATTATTGCTGTTATTATTACTATTCCTCTAAACAGTATCCGTATGAATGAAGTACCATCAACCTCTGCAATCCCTAGTGTTTTTAAGTAAAAGCGCCTTTATATCGGTTGTCTTTTTTTTGTTAAAAAATGAAACATTTTAAATTGAAAATTAAAAAGTAAAAGAAGTTTTTTGCTATGAAAGTCGTTTTCATCCGTGTGTGTGTGTGTGGGAGGGGAAGGGGAGCATCTGGGGATATTGGCAGATTTCCAAAGAGATCTGGTTGCATATGCCGACATCTTACATTTGGACTGGTGAAAAATTATATCATTGTGAACAACGATATTTCTCGAAGTCATTTTGGTAGGTGGTGACAAGCAGGGGAATTCAGGATGTGTATTTCATCTTATTTGGGACGCGTCATTTAAAAGTGTATTTGCCAAACCTAGTGATTGGTAGTGTTCCAAGTGTGACTTGAATTGAGTAGTCATTGTTTCAAACATTAAAGCAATATCCATGGGGCCCTTCTGGCTTAGATCCGGCAAACAGATCGTAGTGCACATCTTGCATTCCCCCAGTAGTCACCATCAATCCCTAGACATCTTTGAAGCGTCTATCCTAGAAGCCCACATATCAACAGGTGCTGAGCGTTTCAGCTTAACATGCTTAATCAACACGAAATGCGAATTATTCTAGAAACAAAGAGATGTTTCTTATTGATGTATGACTTTGCGTCTACAGTGAAGGTAGAAACTTCAGGTCCTGGTGGTAAGCACGCCATTATTTTGATTATTTGACAAGACTCTGAGAATCTGAAATCATCAGTTACAGTGTCGCTTATTCCACAGGAGACACTGAAATTTTTCGTCTCCACACCGTGTAATTTTTTGAATATCTACTGCTGGTAGTATCAACAGTGAGTAATGTACGGATGAATTAAGTCGAGTGGTATAAGCTCCCGGTGAAACAATATGGAAAGCTTGAAAGGGAGACAAAATAAGCCGAAAAACAAGAAAAATATATCCAAATAAAGATTTGAATACGAGGAGAGTATGTATTTTACCGGAAAACAACCGGCTAGCAAATACTAGCATGTTCTGCGGCTACATTCGGTGTCGCTGCCTCCAACCAGATGAAGATCTCGTAGAATTCGTGTTTGAAAACCGCGACGTCCTGAGCTACCCGAATGATTTAGACGCTGTTTTTTCTCGTTGTTGATCGTCAAAGATCCAACGACGACGACTCTGATGAGTGGATGGGTAAAAGCCACCTATGACAGTTCGTATACAGCAAGCTCACAGGCCATACGAGACAATGTCGTTCAGAGTTTGATTGCCTGGTAGACAGACATGAGGCGTTGTGGAAATTAAAGAGCCTATGGCTTGTTTCAAATAAAGATCCACTGTTTTTAGCAGTAACAGTGATACATTTCATACTAACCATGCCAAACATTGGCTAAGGTAGCTTCCCACTTTATCCAGTGAGTCGTTACTGCTATATTTCATTAGCTACAGTAAGTGAATACAGTTCTACCTATGGAGATAAATGATCTACTGCAAACCATAAGACAGTTCATCCACACCAGTCGCTAACGATAACCAGAAAGCCTATATGATAATTCGAAATATCCAAAAGCTGCAGACATAATTGTCAATAATTCGAAGATTGAGATTGACAGATATTCTTTTAACTTATGAAAGGACCGGGGATTTGCAAGGAAAATGCCTGGAAAGGAAAAGCAAAGGCTTCAAAAAGTATATGCAATCCTACTTCTTTTTCTGGTAATCCCTAGGAATTTAGAAAAAAACACAACAGATTGACCGAAGAAATAAGCCATTCCTTTTCAATTAGTTCCTCATCACCAGCTGGCTCTACATTAATATGTAATTTTTTACATCACATCAAATCCCTACAAACCAATACTTGAATATCAATGAGATGCTCAAAAGCGACTTGCCCTATTCAAGTAGGTAGTTAGTCACCTGGGGTTCTAGGGGGAAGTCGTGACCAGTAGGAAGCAGCAGGTCAGCTGTTAGGACAAATAATCGCCGAAGATATTGGCTGTCGGTTGCGCTATGTCGTGAATTGGCAGAAGTTAGAATTCATGGGCTGGCTAGCTGGCCATTGGATCGGGTCCCAGTGGCTTAATGGTTGGTATACGAGCTTGCCTTGTAACCAGAAGGTCCTGGGTTCGAACCTCATGGTGTGGGTGCGTACTGTGAAGAGTCCCAAGAGACTAGGGCGAAACAGCTGTCCAGTACTCCCTGGCAGGTTTTCCAATGGTTCTCCAACTGATGTCAGCTCATGATGAAATCCTGTAACCAATCAAATGCCTACAAACCATCAGTTGAATTTCTACCATTCATTTGGTTATTTCACTTAGTCACTTCTAAGTGTAATGGGAGGGATGGAAATTAACTGTCATCAAAATAATTAACTAATAGATGTTAGTAGCAAGATATCTAAGTTTTGAAGAGAGAGGGTGAGAATTAATTACCAGAATTCAAGATAAGTTAATTCTTTGGAATTAGTAACAAGTTATTACATAATCAAGAAATACGTGAAGTAGAAATGATCACTAAGAAGAATAGGATGACTCAGAAGAATTACGTAATACACTCACACAAGTTAATAGAATTAGCTATAAGTGTAAAAAATTAACAAAGTCAAAAGATAATTAATTACAAGGGGAAGGGAAAATTTCGTCTTAAAAAAAACACAATACACATTAAGTAGTCGGCCATGGTAAAGAAAAGGGCTGTACAAATTTCCGCTGAACACACAGATTTAGCTTGCTTAGATGAATTCCGATTGCCTCTGCTGTATGTGAAGCTCGTACTCGCAGACCATGCAGTGGCAGGTTGGGTGGCACAGTGGTTAGGACTCTCGCCGACCATGCACATGGTCCGGGGTTCGAGCCCACGCCGACGCACACCTGATATCTATGGTCGGTCTGCGAATTTTGGGCTACCGATATCCACGCTGAAAATTCCACACTTGTACCAAAAATACAGTGTGGAATCAAGCTGTTATCGAAAAAAAAGTTTTGTTATAGTCGATGTGATATCAATCATCATGTCAGCAAGACGAGCTAGTATTGAAAGGACACATAGTAGTTGTACATATATATATATATATATATATTTACATACATACATGTGAACATAGTCGGGCAGCTTTATTAATAGCACTGACTGGCGCCAACAGTATTAGTGGTAGAAGTGAGAATAATTACAGTAATAGATGTATAACAACAAAAGGCAAAACACGGGAGTCAAGGTATATTTTTCATTAACCCAACCGCTGTTCGTTAAAAACCGTGGCGACAAACAGCGGGCAGTAAGGAAACAGGCATAAAATGGATCCACACAAAAGCATGGGGGATCTGGATTTCGCCACGATATTCGTCTGATTTCCCACAAACACTGGAAGATATGCAAGTGAAAAGCAACAAGTTGGCGATAGAAGAAGCATCAAAGATAGGACTTCAGGCGAACATAGAGAAAGCAGTGGTGATGAAGATTCCTGACCAACACCAACAGCAGCAACAACAGCAGAAAACAATCAGCATAAGTGGGAGGAACCTGAGAGAAACAACCTCCTTTACCTACTAACCTGGTAAGCGTTGTTTCAAATACAGGCGGATGGAACTGACAAGGTTATCCACTTGATGATCGGGAAAGCAAAGCAAACTTTCATTACTCTCAAGTCTGTGTGGAGGTCAACACCACTATTCAGCATTGAAAGTAAGATCCGGATTTTCAACTCATATGTGAAGTCAGTGATACTTACTGTATGTATCAAAGACTTGGTGCATGACGAAGGGCACTTCGAAAAAATTATAGACTTTCATCCATGGCTGTGTTCACTCAGTACTCAAGATCAGACGGCTGGCCAGAAATCATCAGCAACAGGGATCTCTGGCAATGAGAGAACCAACCAGGAACCGATTGTGCAACAAATAAGCATGAGGAAATGGAGGTGGATTGGCCATACTCTGAGAAAACCATCAAGTGACATCACACGCCAGGCCATCACTCCAGTGGAACCCAAAATGGAAGCGGAGAGTTGGTCGTCCAAGGGTGACTTGAGTGAGGTCATCTGAAGAGGAGATGAAAGCATTTGGGCAGACTTGGAGCCAGGTGGAAACGTTGGCAGGGAGCCGAACGCAATGAAGACGTGCGACTGAAGCCCTATGTTCCTCTAGGAATTAAAGGAAATAATAATATAATAATAAACCGCTGTTTATATACAGTTTATATTCGTTAACCAATCACTGATTGTGTGACTTTGGTTTACATCAAACGACATTAAATAGAATGTTCAAATATACATAGTATTCTTTTGTTAGTGCAGTATTAAACCGTGGGAAAGTATTCTTACTCTGACATCAAACAGTATGTTCAAATAGATATATCGTATTCTGTTGTTGATGCCGTATTGAACTGTGGGGACATGTGAGAATAACATACCGTCTATACACCTTATCTGTATCACACAAACACAGTAGAAATGTGAACATTACCAGTAGTGTTACTAGTGTGAATAAAACTGTGTTGAGAGCTGGCTGTTAACCGAAATTGATAGATAGTTATTTACGTGAATGTGTACATCCCCAGTACTTGGTCTCATGTGTTGATTTCCTAAATAATTGATCTGTAGCCTGGCCCTTGTCTTCTGTTGTTACAACACTAGTAGAATTATCAGCAATAATAATAGTAGTATTAGTTGTGTAAGTGTTAGCATTATGGTGAGAGCTGGCTGAGAACAAGCCGAAATTGTAGACAATGATTTACGTCAATGTTACGTTCCGAATCAGGGTCATGAGGATAAAGAAGAACAAAGCCTAACTTTGAGGAACTCACCAACCAGTCACGGCAGAATTAACTTGTGCAAATACGATTCGCAGATATATGGCTTAACTTTCTGAGAAACAGTAACAAGCAATACAGAATGACCCCCCGCAAGGAAATAACCAGTGAGAAGACTCTGATTCTGCACTGACAATGATGTATATAAAAATCTATAAGTATCTGTTGATTTTTTGAATGAATGATCTGTTGTTGCCTGGCCCATGTCTTCTATCGTTACAATAGTAGCATTAGTAGTGAATATACTACGAAATAAATAAATATGAATTCCTGGAGGTTGAAGTAAGGAAACTGATTTGCTCACTGTAACTTTCCTACACGAAGATAACTGAACTGGAATAAATCCACAGTACAAACCTTAAATTTTGGTGAATCAGAAATTTCAAATATCTTGTTTACTTCTTAGTGATAACTAGGTAGGGCAGGAAATAAACTGTAATAGAGAAAAATCAATTTCTGTGTGATGTAACAGCAGTACAAAAATCTGTAAGACGTACCTACAAGTCTTTGATTATTTTGGATGTGAAGAACAGTAAATCACCTAGAGGTTATTTTTATCGATCAACTCATCATAAAACTGTTTAAGATCATTCGATACACTTGAAAATAGATATTCAAGTGTTGGTTTGTAGGGATTTGACTGGTTACAGGATTTCATCATGAGCTGACATCAGTTGGAGAACCATTGGAAAACCTGCCAGGGAGTACTGGGCAGCTGTTTCGCCCTAGTCTCTTGGGACTCTTCACAGTACGCACCCACCGGGATTCGAACCCGGGACCTTCTGGTTACAATTGGCAGAAGTTAGAATTCAGTGACCATTGGATCAGGTCCCAGTGGCTTAATGGTTGGTATACGAGCTTACCTTGTAACCAGAAGGTCCTGGGTTCGAACCCCATGGTGTGGGTGCGTAATGATGAAGAGTCCCAAGAGACTAGGACGAAACACCTGTCCAGTACTCCTTGGCAGGTTTTCGAATGGTTCTCTAACTGATGTCCGCTCATGATGAAATCCTGAAAATAGATATATTTAAAGAAATCTGCCGCTAGAATAAATAAAACAAGAACAACAGCGGTTTGTGCAGAATAAAATGGTGTTATCATTGTTTATTTTGTTGGCTTCTAATCAATTGCTTACAGCCCAAAGGCATTGTTAACTTTATGTACAGAAACAGTTTTTAACATACTTACAAGAAGAGTTAATTTTTAAACAAAAGATCAATATTTGCTCACAATGGGAATAATAATAATAATAATAATCACTTTGTCCCAGACAACAGAAAGAGAGAATGAAAATATCGAGTTTTCAGGATAGATAAGAAAAGACTGATAACCGCCTCTTTCTGAATACACAAATCAGGTTCCAGGCATTTGATGTAGATTGCTCCGAGAAAACTTCAATGGAACTGAGCTTTTTTGTATATTGATAACTTTGAAAGATGTTGCGGCGTCCACCTCATGACGCGTGTCAAGGAGACACCTGAGAATAACACTGTTGAAAGCATTTGTTCCCAGCTGGAGAGGTAGGCGTTTCAGTACATACGCAAAACGTTGGAGGCTTACCCTTCTTCTTTCTGTTCTCACAGATACATGTAAATTTGTATATAGAGTTTGAGTTAACATGAGAAGGTCATCCGTCAACGTTTGATTGTAGCACCAAAGAGAAGGTTGTCCGATGGCAAGAGGAACCCGTATTCCTGCAGGACAGACTCTAGCTAGTGTCATATACAATCTTCTATTAACTTTTGCTGGCATATTTTCTTCTTTAAAGTCGAGTTGAATGAGAACAGATATTTTCCACACTGTGATTTCCTTGATATTTGTGCCTTCGCATCTTTTATATTTTAAAATGTATCTCTGAGGGTGACTGTTGTTTTTCAACATCTTCCTTCAATTTCTCTGTAGAGCATTTCCTCCTAGTTCTATAGTACAGAGTCTTGACTAGTGCTCATTTAAAAGTTGTTTGGACAAAAACTATATAATGCAAGCATTGCCCATTCCAAGTAGGCTTTCTGTAAATTGATTTCTAAAGACTACCATCTTCTAGGCGTTGCAGTAAAATGTTTCAATGCTAGCCACCATCCACCAATTGTATACTAATTAAATACCCAGACATCGTCGAAGCATCTGCACAAGAAGCCGACATGTCAACCTGAGACCGAGCACTTTGGTCCAAACAATCGACGGGAAAATCAAAAATTCAATTCAATAATTAATATGACCCGTTGCACAAGAGGTGGCTCTCGTGGCCCAAGTGGTCTAGTGGATAACGCTTTGGCGTTTGAAACTATGGGTACTGGGTTCGAGCCTCGGTGGGAACATCATCACTCACTGAGAAATGCAGGTACATCCAGTTGACGAGTCCCAAATAGGACGAAATGCGCTTTATCCTGGATTCCACTGCTAGCCACCATCCACCAATTGTATGTTTCAATGAAAATTGTGCAACAGAATGTCTTTACGTAATAAAGTAAAGCGCCATCCTGTACGTATTGGTAGTCCAATGTTACTGTTTATCATTTTCCTGGATAACAGTCGAGGTGATTATCATAATAATAGTAATAATAACAATAAGGATAAATTCATTCAAGTGTTTATGCATTAATGGATGATACTTTTATCTTACATAATGATAAAATCGACACTGAGGTCCTTCTCCAAAAGTTCAGTATGGCTCATCCACAAATTGAGTTCACATATGAATATAAGAAAGACAACACCTTATCATTTCTTGATGTCCTGTTAACAATAAGGCAAGGTGACAGTATTTGGGAGGGTATTTTCTGGAAGAAGTCATGGGTTGACTAATACACACGTCCATTTCAGGTCGTTTGTTCCTCTTGCATACAAACGAATTCTTAGCACTAGAAAGATCTGCACAACTAACACCCTTTTATGCGAGAAAGGATACCCAAAAAATTTGATCAGGTCTCCCTGAGGAGAACAGACAGAAAGAAACGCCTGTAGATGATGCAGAAGAAACGGATATACATAACTTCAAGGAGACGCAGCATCTGAATCCCTGAAGCATCTTTTGACACAATAATAAGTTTAAAATTGACCACTCGCTGTATAGTTCCTGTACAGGTGAAGGATAATCTACCGAGTCTGGCCACTTCTATGTGTGTTTGTAAATTTAACTGTTCATGTAGAGACAGCTACATAGGTAGAACTGTTCGGCAAGCTCACCGTCGCCTTCTGAAGCATTTTCCAACATGGCTAGATATAGGAGTCGTAAAGTCAATCTTAAGCCCCATACTGGTACACCTAGTAGATACGGAGGACGAAATTGACAAAAATTCTGATTTAACAATTCTGCACGGAGTACTGCCTCAACTCCCCAGGTTGGTACGTTTACGGTGACTCAGATAAGCTGAGGCAGTTGCCATGATGATTTTTCAGCCCGATCTCTGTGTTCAGAAAATGTTCGTTCAATTTCCCTCTCACCTTTCCTTGGCCTTCACCGCCAACTTCAAACAGTTATCTCTTTCGGCGGAACCGCATAACTGTAAATATTATCTTGTTATTTTATTTTATATGTAGTGCTAACTGTATTACCAATATCATGCTATGCTGTAGTTGTACATTTTATTCTTAGTTTCATTATTTATTACTACTATATTATCCAATCGCTATGTGACAGTAGGTTGTTTTCCCGTTTAGTATGAACATTCTGCCTATTTACTTACTATATGATTACCTTGATTAGACAAAGACTTGAATGAATTTATCCTTGTTACTATTATGATCACCTCGATTGTTATCCATTGATTCACATCCCTGAACTCTGACCGCATATTATTTTATTTGCGGTTTTACTCACATGCAGAGTACTTCTAACCTACTTGATAATGAAGTCTTTCGGTTTATTTGAAACGACTTATCTATGCCTAAAGTATGCAGATTATAACACAAGTATTACATCATTCAAATGACGGATTGTATTTAACATGTTCCGAGTGAAATATACTTCATTCAGTGACACATCTTCATTCCACCCAATCCTCTGCTCTCAAGCTTTCATCATCGGACATCTGGTCTTCATTTCATGACTTCCTTTTTATTGAACCTAATGTATAATGTCACTTCACTGTCTCATCAGTGTACATCTATCTAGTCCATCGCCATTCCACTGTACATAACTATTAAGTGAATATGATGTTGGCTGGTTCACTGCTTGCTACAGCATTGCCTTGCTACTTATTCTCTCTGACTACCTAGCCCTCTCTCTCTCTCTCTCTCTCTATATATATATATATATATATATATATATATATATCACCTTCGAAATCTAGTCACCAGACCCCAGATGATAATCGTTGTTTTATGAAGAAAAACGATGCCCCTGCAGCTCTATCTTAAAACATCTGATAGCTTCCGGAATTCAAGCTACACCCAAAACAAACTTCAAAGTCGCCTACAGAATACGAGGCCTAGAAGTCATCTTAATAAAGTATGAGTCAAACTTCTTCAAACTGCAGAAGCAATGACAATTCACTTGCTAAGTCCTGAAGTCAGCATACAGAAGAAGTTCATTCAATCGCTACACTTGCAATGGACGTAATCTGTCCTGACAGGTGAATTCTATTTCTTTCTCTCTGTCTCTTCATTAGTATTATTTTGGTCTTTATAATTGTAATATTTTACATTTTCAAACTTTCTGTTCTCTACCCCCATCCGATTTAATTCCTACACTTCATTATCACTGTCACTGACTTGACCAACGTTCAATTCCTAGTCATTTATGTTACGTCATCCAATTTATTTGTTCATTTGTAGTCCTAATTTAAATGGCGTTATTCCCTACCCCATGTCTACTTAGCCTCTACCTGTAATCACCTCTGTGGCTATCCTACTCTAGATTGAAGAATTTTAGTCAATTATATTACATCACCTAACTCAATCTTACTTTAGTTGCTGTCTAATTAACCTTGTTTCTATATTAGATGATTTTTGTGATACCTGATTAATTACCTGAATTGCATGGAGGATTTAATCATGAGCTGACATTAGTTAGAGAACCATTGGAAAACCTGACGGGGAGTACTGGACAACTGTTTCGTCCTAGTTTCTTGGGACTCTTCATCATTACGCACCCACCGGGACTCGAACCTAGGACCTTCTGGTCACAAGGCGAGCTCGTAGACCATTGAGCCACTGGGACCGGACCCAATGGTCCTTGAATTCTAACTTCTCTCAGTTCACGGCATAGTGCGACCACTTTGCAATGTCTTCCTCGATGAGTTACTGCCTCATCTTCAACCTGCTGTACCCTACTGGTACTAAACACCTGTCCAGTACTCCAGGGTTTTCCAGTGGTTCTCTAACTGATGTCAGCTCATGATTAAATCCTCCATGCAATCAAACAAAATCCCTACAAAACCAATACTTGATAATTACCTAAACTTGACAAACCTCGTGTACACTCACACACACACACACAAAGATAATTATATATAGACGCAAATGTACATCTACGTAAATGAATCCACCGTCGAAAATAGTCTCTTCGCTGAAGAATAATAAAAGACATTTATAAAATCAGTCAATCTGGAATATACATATATTTGTGTATATATATGTATGTATGTGTGTATGTAAGTGTGTAGATGTGTGTGTGTCTGCGTGTGTGTGTGTGTGTGAAGTTTTGCTAAATCTTATCTCAAATTAATACACAGTATTGTTGTTTACAATGTTCATCAAAGAGGTTTTCACTTCGTTGGTGTTGCCTTCTATTCTGCTGAAAATAAATAAATGTGTGTGTGTGTGAGTGAATACGTATGTATGTATGTATATATATCACAGTTTGCTTGAAGTTTCCTTCACTGACTGCATGGAATGATAGATATTCATTGCGGAAGACAAAAGTGTTGCTTGTGTTTCTTTTGGGTATTCCTTTTTTTTAGGGGTGGGGGGTGGGAGATGGGTTGAAAATACAAATTTCCTGTATGAAAACACCAACAATCAAACAAAACGAAAAAGCTAAAGGTTATCCAGAAAATTTTTATCACAATTGTCACAGTAAGGATATTAGAACAAGACTTATAAGCGAACAATATTGTTGTTTTCAATTAAATCTTTTTCAGGCTATACTTTAATTTACATGACTTTTGATATATAAAAAGTTTTGCCAGTGTTCCAGTGTCGTCGAACAGGAAGTAGTTTATCAAAAGAACACCACTCTGTACTTAAGGAATAATTTTTTATTTTTTATTTATTTTTGATTACAGCTTGATGCCACACCGTATTTTTGGTACAAGTATGGAATTTTCAGCATGGATATCGGTAGCCCAAATTTCGCAGGCCGACCATAGATATCAGGTGTGCGTCGGCGTGGGCTCGAACCCTGGACCATGTGCATGGTCGGCGAGAGTCCTAACCACTGTGCCACCGACGAAAAAGATACTCTTATTACTGCTAAACCAGACAAAGTAGAAGACATTGTCATTATGAATATAAATTTTATCTAAACAACGCAGAGAAGCTCTAAGAGAACTTAAAAGCAACGAAAGTTTAATTATTAGCAAGCTGGATAAAGGTGATGGTATAGTTTTACTGGACAAAAACGATTATGTTGAGAAAATGGAGGGTATTTTGAGTGATCAAACTAAATTCCAATCGCTTATTGTTTCCAAAGACCTCAATGTAAGAGCTGAGAAACTAATGATCGACTCCCTCAAAAAACTGAACCAAATAGGAGTATTATCATCAACCACGTATGAGCCTATGAAAACTACGGGTACCAATAATTCACTACTTTACGGTCTACCAGAAGTGCACAAACCGATTCTTCCTCTTCGCCCTCTTTTAGATATGTATAACTCTCCATTTCACGGAACAGCGAAGTGGTTAGTTAAGATTCTGGGTTCTTTGCACAGAGAAATCGTGCAACATCGAATTAGTGATGTCTTAGACATTATTTCTAAAATATCCAAGACTAATGTGAGGTATAAACGCATGTTATCCATGGATGTTTCATCACTATTCACTAACGTACCGCCTATGGAAACAGTTGATTATATTTATCAAGGAATCAACGATAGGCAATTAGACTTAGCAATCCCCTTATGTAGCCTAAAAGAATTGCTTCTTAAATGCACAATGAATGTTCACTTCGTCTTCAATAATTCATACTATCAACAAGTAGATGGAATAGCTATGGGTTCACCATTAGGCTCACTATTAGCTGACTTCTTTCTCGCAAAACTTGAAAACGGGAAATTGAAGGATACCATCAAGGAGTTGGATATGTATTACCGATATGTCGATGATACATTTATCTTAGCTGATGAGAAGGTTAACACAGACGAATTGTTACTTAAATTCAACAACATCCACCCTTCGCTTACCTTTACTTGTGAAGAGGAGCAGGAGAATAAACTACATTTCCTGGATGTCTTGCTAAGTAGGAGAGAAGATGGGTCACTTGGGAGAAGTGTGTACAGAAAAAGCACATTCACAGGGCAATACATACACTTCCTTAGTTACGTGCCCATTAAATATAAAAGGAATCTTGTAAAATGTCTCGCAAGCAGAGCAAGAAAGATATGTACGGATGGCCTCTTACAAAAGGAATTTGAATATATTTACCATTCCTTGATTCCGAGTAGTTTCATAAAGAAACATATGGAAACATCGAGGAAAAAACCTGAGACTCTGACTGCATATAACAAAAACCCCTATTTTTTAAATTACAATTTAATAGTGACTTATCAAGTGAGATTCTATTCCAAAGACTTTCAAGGAGTACACATAGAACACTTTACGCAGCACACCTATGTTTGTCATTCTCTAGCCGACGAACGGTTGGGACGCAAACGAAGGATAAGTTTGATAGTTTTGCCACATTTATGTGTATTTATCAATTCAACGGAACCTGCGGTGACAGTTATGTTGGGCAGAGAGACAGCTTAGCCAACGTGTTAGTAAACATCTCGCATCGTGATGTTTGGCAAAGGGCAGACAAAAACAATCCGTAGCTCAATTCTGTCACATTTAATTGATAGTGGTCATGTAGTCGAGAAAACGAAAGCCTTCAAAGTGATTCATTGTATCCCACTGAATCTTTCTAATAGACTTCGTATTCATCTACTGCACACAGCTGAGGCGATAGGCATTCGAACTCTTAAACCTAAACTATGCATTCAAAAGAAGTTCGTACAGCCATTATCCCTCCCTTGGCCTATTAAGACATAAACAACTAAAGACTTCTACACCACCCTTTATTTATATTTTCAACCCCTTTCTTATCATCCCTTAATCTTATCTTCATTATAAACGTGTTTCATTTCCTTCCCTTACAATCTAACATTACGTAATCGGTTGATTTGTTTTTACTAGCCTTTATCGACTATTTCCACCTGAACAATTGTTTGTTTAATCATACCGTTTTTCATTATTCGTGTTATCACAGATTGCCTCACTTTTTCATCCTTATTATTCATAAGACCATTATTATTATTATCATTACTACTATTATGACTAATTGCACAATTTATATTCACTATCGTATTATCCTATAAACAAAACACCATGATTGGTTTATATTTGAATTTTTATTTGTAAACTTATATATAATAAAGTTAAGCCTGATGAGATCTAATTGAAAACAATATTGTTCGCTTAAACTGATCAGATTTCTGGAGGACAATCTTAGTGATAATGTGCTGCTTGTAGAAAAGCAGATCAGTAGTCAGCTTCCGATTATACTCATGCATGGTTTTATAAATGAAAAACTTTATAAACTGCTTTAAGCTATTGAATCACAAACTCCCCGGCTGTATGACCTTCCAAATATCCACAAAACCGGGAACTCACTAGGACTTATCATAGATATATCGAATTCTCTATATCATACAATCGCAAAATGGATTCCAAAGGTCCGTACGCCTGTAAAAAGTTCATTTGCTTTAACCGATATGCTAGGCACCTCTAACATCAAGGTAAAGGTTACGTGCTCAATCGACATAGAATCTTTATTCTCCGATGTTCCTTTTGATGAAACTGTTGGTTTCATTTGCAATTACATCACAAGCAGTGAGATAAACTTACCTATTCCTGTCACTTACATCAGAGACATCATTTTAAAGTCTACAGGGAATATCAGATTCACTTCCCAGGAAAAGGGGTACAAACAAATCAATGGTGTTGCGATGGGGAGCCCATTTGGGCCCCTGTTAGCAGATATATTTATGTCGAAATTAGTGAAACAAATCCTACGTATTCTTGGAGAATTTATGTCACATAAACGTTATATGGATGACAGACTCATTATTGGTAATAATAGTAAATCTATTGAAAACTTTATTAATAATATTCATCCAAATATCCGAGTGACTTCCGAACTGGAATAGAATAACAAACTCGGTTTCCTGGATATTACAATCACCAGGAGAGATGATGGAACGATTCAACGATCTATTTTTCGTAAACAGACGTGGAGTGGACAATATCTTCATTTTCCCAGTTTTGTTCCTATCCAGTATAAACGTTTCCCAGTGAAATGTTTGTTTTCAAGGGCCCCAAAAATATGCATCAGCGACACACTGATGGATGAGCTTCAACATATACATTCAGTTTTATTAGCTAATGGTTATCCAGAAAACTTTATCAATTGCCACTTTGATGACAGATCACATCTAGAAAAGACAGCTTCTGTACTAAAGAAAGCTATCCTCATTAACCTATCATTCAAGGGTTATCAAATTATGCAGTTGACAACTCAAAGACTTTGGTCAGCCATCAGATGCACATTCTACTCTGCAACTCTTTCCCTCACATGCCGAACATTTTCGATCCCTGTACCTACGATTAATGGACGGAATTCCTTGGACTCTACTTCACACTGTATCTACAAGTTCACCTGCAGTTGCGGTTACACCTATATAACTAGAACCAATAGAATGTTCCAATGTCGTCGAAAAGAACATGTTCCACATTGGTTATCAAAACACATAGAAAATCCCAATGCAATTAATCTGAGTGGAAATCCAGCATCATCCATTGTAAAGTACTTATCAGTGCTCGGTCACAAAGTCAATATTAATCCACAATTTTCAATAGTCGGTTTATAAGGATTAGATTTGTTTTTCACGAGTGGATCACGGATTGATATCAGTTAGAGAACCATTGAAAACCAAGGAGCATTGAACAGCCAGCTGTTTCGTACTAGTTTGAAACTCTTCATCAGTACACGCCCATCACCAGGGTTAGAACCCAGGACCTTCCGGTTACAAAGCAAGGTCGTATACTATTCAGTCACTCGTGAGCTAAAAACAGCTAATCGACATAAGTTAGAATTCACAGGCTACCAAATTTCTCTTCAAATGGCTGAATAACCATGGAGCTTGGCTTCGTAAGTGGGTTCGATCCTTATTGGCGTCTGGATGAGCACTGCCAAAGTGTCTCAAACCAGGGCGAAACATCTGTCCGGTACTCTGGGATTCTGAATGTTTTCTGGCTGAAATCAATGTGATATCAAACTTGAAACGAACCAAATCCCTAAGGACTAATTCTTGAACATGACTAATAATAACCCTAAAGAGAGTAAGGATAAACCACTAAGAAAAGAGAATTTTGATTGCAGGACAAGAATAACAATAATTAGAGATGGAATGCAATATTTATGGTAATAACACATAACAAGTAAAAGATACCGTCATGGTAAATTCAAAGCTATGAAAATCTCATTTTTGTGCATTGCGACCGCTGTTTCGGACACTAATTAAATGTGCATCTACAGCTGCAATCATTTTCCTGTTTGCTTTGTCTACTGACAGTAGTGAATGACTTGACGACGTCAGTATCGTGCTTACAGCCTATAGAATCGCTTTGTTGCTTAACTTGTTGATGCTTAATTATTTCTCATAGCATACATGTACAACTCTTCATGTAGCCTACTGATTGAGTTGAAAAGTTCTACCGAAATTTCCTGATGCGTTCGTTGTATCCGCTGCTTTAAGAAAAACTTTTGTTCCTTGTTTTCAATGCCTATAAGCATAAAACTAAGTCCAAGGACATCCTGTTGATTTCGCTTCACCAGTGAAGGAATAAAAATACCTTAAACATGTCAAGTGTGGTTAGGACTCTTGCCGACCATGCACATGGTCCGAGGTTCGATCCCCTGCCGACGAACACCTGATATCTATGGTCGGCCTGCAAAATTTAGGCTACCGATATCTATCTATGCTGAAAATTGCATACTTGTACCGAAAATACTGTGTGGAATCAAGCTGTAAATCAAAAAAAGTAAAAGATAAAAACTGCATCGATGAATAACCCTGAAGTTAAAAAGAAGTATCGAGAGTTTTTTCTCCGTATTTTAGATTAAACTTACATAATTAACCAATAGTATCCTTTTGTATTGTCTCCGAGTTACTCTGCTCTAATGACTGAAATGTGGTTGCCTGTTTATTTTGTTCATTTTCACGTGAAATCCATTCATGTGTCATCGCTTCATTCGGTGTAATTCTTTCTTCAGGATCCCATCTATGAAGGCAAGCAGAAGAAATATAAACATACACTTGGACACTGTAAGGAATCAGGAAAAAAGTGGATAAGTAAAAGGGTCTATTGAACGAAAGCTGAATTAAAGTATTTGTACTGTGATTTGTTTATTATATATGTCACACAGTGAGTGAAATAGGAAGATGAAGTTTCAAACACAACTGATTTATTTTTGAATTAAATTCTTGATTTTCCCGTCGATTGATTGGACCGAAGTGCTCGGTCTCATGTTGACATGTCGGCTTCTTGTGCAGATGCTTCGACGCTTTGACGTTTGAAACTATGGGTACTGGGTTTGAGCCTCGGTGGGAACATCATCACTCACTGAGAAATGCAGGTACAGCCAGCTGACGAGTCCCGAATAGGACGAAATGCGCTTTATCCTGGATTCCACTGCTAGCCACCATCCACCAATTGTATACAACTTATTTATTGTTCATAATCATATCGCCAGTTATAATCACATGACTTTGAAACTTGAGTTTAACAGTTTTCTTTGTTCTCTCTTATTTGGCTTAGGAGTAATAGAATTTGCCAGATGTCCAAGTGGACAGGTGTTGAATCATCCCTATTACAGGTATTTGCAGTTGATTTGATAAATAAAGCTTCAGTTGTCAATATGTCCCCCTGCCTTGTTACAACAGATTTTAAAATTGTCATCTTATCCCATCACATCTTATTGTTTAGTTGTGTATAATTGTATGTAGTGCTTCAGCTTGGCTTTTCTCTAGATTTCTTATCTTATTCGGATCAACTAGTCTAATTAGAATAACACGCCAGCGTAGAATTTGTCAGTGCATACACTTAATGCATAGAGAACAGGAGATAGCCATCCGAAAAGGATAAAGGGCAGTGAAATCAATCAAAATCCTGTCGCCTTACAAGTATAGGGCCAAGTTAAACTTTCAACATCACTAACTACCAGTCAGCAAACGACGTCAAATTATCCAAAGTGGTTCACGAACGTAGTTCAATGTTGTATAGCTCTTGGTTCATTTCGAATGCATGCCCTTACAAGGTTACGGTCGCATTTCGTGTGGAGGGGATAATGTTTTCCAGTATTGCTTGGATTTAGGGTTGGTCCGGAAGGAGCAAACTTGTTTGTGTGGTGATATCATGACTTTAAAAAGCTATAGCAGATCAACTGATTGATTTGTTGATCGTTGTGCTGTATGTTTGAAGCGTGCTAGCATTAGAGAAGGTAAGCTGATGATTTTAATATTTCGTAGGAACTTTTTTCGCTAGGTCACATCTCTCCCTAACCAAGATTTTGTACATCTGCAACTACTGGGTGTTGAAACAGCCGGTGAGAGCAGCAGCTGCTGAGGCAGAGAAAAGCCTCGTCTCAACAGTTCAGTGGTACCAGCATTGCAGAGATATTGCTTCGTGGAAAGTAGAGAAAATCACTTGTCTGCTGGGTGGAGAAGACGTTGTCGTGAATGTCGATGAAACTGTGCTGGTGAAAAAGTAATACAACCGTGGTCGCCAGCGAGCAAACAACATTTGGGTATTAGGTTTATACGACACCTCCCTCCGAAAGGGATTCGTCGAATGGATAGCTGACAGAAAAGCAACCACTTTAATACCTATTATAACGAGACTTGTTAAACGGGGGTCAACTATACACATGGAAGAGTGGAAAGGTTATAATTCGCTGTCATCTCTGGGGTATATTCATCACAGAGTGAACCATTCAAGTGATTCTGTGGATCCAGTTACGATGACCCATACGAATTCCACTGAAGTGTTTTGGGGCCGCTTGAAAAATAGGATAAGGGCTATAAATGGATCTCAAAAGGATCTCATTTATAGTCATTTAGATGAATATATGTACAGGATGTAGTGTGATTTCTCCATTGACAGTCCCATGCTAAACTGGTAGATGTTTCTCTCAAATGTTCGAGAAAGATACCCTTTGTAACCGTTTTATCCTTTTTTATGCTTTTTTCTATAAATATACGTTTCCATTTATCATAAATGCCTCTTTAATGTGATTGGTCCGTTCAAGGTCGTTTGCTGGTTGGTTGTTAGTGGTATCGAAAGTTTAACTTTGCCAAATATAGATGAATAAGATCGACACTGAGCATACCATTGGTTGACATCACATTCAAAGCCTTCAAGTAGCAACTAATCAGGAAGCAACTAACCGGTTATGTGTCATAGGTTAACATAAAAGATATCGTGTTGAAATGAAACATGAGCTTGTTGATAGTTGTGAAGACTCCTAAAAATGATGCCATAGAATGAAGCATTGTGACAACGTGTCACAGAAGCCGTGTGTTTTCACTTAAAATGCAGTAAAACAAATAAGAGCAATAATAAAATACGTGTTATACACATTAAAAGAAGGCTATTTGAAAGTGAATGGCTTCAAAAAAAATAATCAACTGCAACTTACGTTAAACATTGACTTAGTAGATTTAAAAATTTTGAATCTACTGTTTTGACTAGATCTTCAAGTGTTTGACTACCAGGAATACGTCTACGTCCTCGACTGTTGATCAAGTGTTTTGGAGAACGTTTCGAATCTAATAGTGAAGAGGAGAAAAGCAAATTCAAAATGCAGATCCAATTGTAAGATATAAAAGAATTTGATATGTGTAATGTGCACCTGTGCAACCTATTGCCTACTATCGCCTACGATATTCCTAATCTTGGTTGACTGGATCGTAAAAAGCAAATCTTGGTGAACTATAGGACATCTGGATTTCATGGGAGATTTATTTCTAATGACATACAGACTGGAAGATCTGCCAACAAGTTTGCAGATGAAGCTGAGAAGACAGAAGTTCAAGTGAACACAGAGACGTTAGCTGTGATGATGGTAACCAACCCGCAATAACAACAAGCACAAATTTTAGAGAAAGCTTAAAAAAGCCTCATCTTTCATCTATCTAGGCGAAATTAATTCACATACGGGTGACACGAATGAATATATAAAGGCTATACTAGGAAAGGCAAGACAGGAGCTGAATAACCTGGAATCAGCATGTCTATATATGCCAAACAAGATTTGAATTTTCAACACTTATGTCAGTCAACTCAGTTTTTCTATCCGTCATCAAGAGCATCTCGAACAGACTTCAGATTTTTATATCAACACTTGCCTCCCCTGCATTGGTGAAGATAAAGCTGCCAACCAGAGACGGTTACCAACAAGGAGCTCTGGTGAACGAGACAGTCAATAACCTACTGTCTAACACTTATTCCAGAGAAAATGAAGATAGATCAAGCACACGCTGAGATCGCTGAGCAACATCGCATCATGGATGACATTGAGTAAATCGTGTTTAAAGGAGCTGAGAGCATATTAGCAATCGTGAAGCCAGTTAAGGACGACTGCAAAGGACAGGTTGAAGTGGATATGTGCATTTAAAGCCCCCCAAGTTCCATCTGGAACTTAACAGAATAATAATAGTAACAATAACTGTGAGTATATAAATATATATATGTACATATACAAGCTTACCAAAAAATACTCTTCGTCTACTAGCCTTTTCAAGAAGTGATTCTGGAGGTACGCCAAGTACTTCCATTATACAGGCTAACTGTTCATTCTCATTTTCTCCAGGAAACAATGGACGACCTAAATTTAAATGGGAAAGATATAAAGGATGAAAAAAATTGGAAAATGTGAAGGTTACCTTTGATCTTCAAACAATATATCTCACATGTAAAGTTTAGCTTATTGGTTATTAACTGCAGTTGTGGTGAGAAAATATGAACAAGGCTGATTCAACAACCAATTGTGGTGAGAGCAGGCTGCTAGCCGATTGGTTGACACTAATCTACGTTAATGTCTAGGTCACTAATATCGGCCGTGAGAAAATATGAACAAGGCTGATTCAACAACCAATCACAGCAAAGTTAACGTGGCAAAATATGATTCGCAGATAGAGAACTCTATTTGTCAAGGAATCCCGAAACAACCAATCAGAAGCCTGCGTTTGTCTGCAACCAATCAGATGACTGCGCTTTTCTACTTGCATAAGCTATAATAATGTATGTGAAATATATATAAATACGTGTTGATTTTCATAATAAAACGATCTGTTGCCTGGCCCTTGTCTTCTGTTGTTACACAGTAAGTGGGATTACGGTTGTCAGATAAAACTTGTATTTAAAGCTTTTTTCTGCAATACTCAAGTAAGCAGTACCTGTTGACAACTACAATAGATGCTTCAAAGGTTGACATCTGTCCTATATTTCAAAGCTACTCATCACCTAACAAACATCCTCAGCGCAAATGCAATCGATAGAAAGTAAACTGGATAGAAGGACATTGCTTTCCTCTAAAGTTATCAGAGTAAGACAAATCTAATTCGTCTTTATTTTTTCCTCTTTTTGTCACGTCAGCTTATTTTAGCGAAGTGAGGCTCTTTGATATCGTTGAAATTTCATCCGTTAAGTATTTGAACAGAATTAGGTTTCAATAAAATTGCGTAATATTTTATCGAAAGTGTTGACAACGGTGAATCTCTTAGACGGCATGTTGGTCTGGTGTAACCTGTTGGTTACAAGCGTTTACCTCTCAGCTGGACTGTATGAAAATGTTGCTACTATATAAAAAAGGAGGAGTAATTGAATGATGATATTCTACTCTGGAATTGTTTATTTTTTCCAAGAGTTGACTTTGAAGGTATTCGATTAGTTTTCGAGTTTGATCACGTACTGATATCAGTTATAGAACCGTTAAAAACCAGCAGAGAATACTAGACAGCTGTTTCGTCCTAATCTCTTGAGATCCATCAACAGTATGCACCCACCCTTCAGCCAAGGTTTGAACCCAAGACCTTCTGGTTACAAGGCAAGCTAACTCGTATACCATTCAGCCACTGAGATCGGACTCAAAGGCCAGCTCATGAATTCTAACTCCTAGCGCGACTGGTACTAGTTAATATCATCGATGATCATTTGTCCTCACTCCTGACAGTATGGACCCAACCGGTCGCGACTTATCACTAGAATTCCAGGAGAGTCTTTCCTCTAGTCCCTAAAAGCCGTAAAAGTTGTTCCTGCTTTTTACGTAGATACCTTTCATGAAGATTTCATTGGTTCCAGTGGTTACTGAGAATTTTCATGGTTATTTAACGGCAGGCAACGGTCGCTTTCAGTTCTGAAACAAGGCTCTGAACACAGTTTATTATCACCGAAAATACCCATTGAATAGTGGAGAATATAAAAGACAGTTCATAGAAGAGGATTTCCTTTATCGACGAAATCATCCTCAGAGACAGGCTGTAAAGTCTTATTTATATTTACCAAAAAAGTATAGTAGTCTGTTATTAAATAAATAGGGTAGGGTTGACACAGTTGACATAATTACTCAGAAGTGGCTTCAAAAGTAAAAATACAAGTTATAAATTACTGATTTATCAACGGCACAAAGGAAAGAAGAGCTAGAGATTTGATAAGGTTAAAATTGTTATTGATTTTTTTTGATTTACAGCTTGATTCCACACTGTATTTTTGGTACAAGTATGCAATTTTCAGCGTGGATATCGGTAGCTCAAATTTTGCAGGCCGACCATAGATATCAGGTGTGCGCCGGCGTGGGCTCGAACTCCGGACCATGTGCATGGTCGGCAACAGTCCTAACCACTGTGCCACCGACGCACACAAGAAAGGTAGTTGAGTGTCCATTTAACAAGTTTAAAGAGGGTGAGAAAATGTACAAAAGGAGCATATAAGAGTGATAATAGTGATCTAATTCTTAATAAAAGTAAAACCAAACTAATCATTAGAACTAAAGTTAAAAAAATTTACAGGGAACAACTAATGAAGGGGTTAAAATCATGATAGAATGAGAGACTGGACAAACGTCTTGTGTATACAGAGTTCGGGGTTGTATTGACGAATTGCAAATGCCTCCACCATACATGATTGCTGAAACCTGATTCCCCTTTGTACCACTCAGCTCCAACACTCTGGTGGAGCTGAGTGGTTTGAATTCACCAAGTACTCGATAATCAAGTTAGTGACTGTCTAGTATTGTCCTTTTGCTAACCATGCCAAATAATGTTCAGAGATGCATTTACCATCCATAATCATAAAAATTATAACTGCAAAACTTCGAAACTTCCATCTTATGGTTTTCTATATCCTTTTCCATTCTTATTAGGGATGGTTGAGTTTTCAAGGTATCTGGAAGGGGTGTTGAATCATATTTATTGCATGTACTGACCTGAAGAATAAAGCTCCGGTTATCAACCTCTCCTTCTACGTTGAATATTAGATTTTACGACTCTCATTTTATCTGGTCCCATTGTATGGTTATATATGTCGTGATATAGCTGAGCTTACTTTTTAATATTTCTTTCAGGTTCTACTAGTCTAGGTATTGATCCTAAAGGGAAAATGCTTAGTAAAGTCAAAACATAGACATTTAGCAAGTACAAGTACACTGAAAACCTTGAAAACAGAAACTGCGCTAAAAAGTAAATTTCAATTCAAAACTCAACTATACGCTTAATCGTCCCCTAACATAAGCCTTAACTCAACTTTAGCCGTCATCATCCCCTAACATGATCATGAACTAACTAGAAATTATGTTTAGTATTCTTACAGACTTTTCAAAACTCTATCTATTAATTAAGAGTGTTGTTTTTCTGCTGTCGACATCCTGTTCTGTTCGAAAATTCCAATGTTATTGGTGTTAGATGTCTTCTCTTCAACTTCCTCAAATTACTTTGGCAAAACTGCACAAAACAGGCTTATTAAATCACTAAGATTTAAGGTTTAATATAAACCTGGTTAAAATATATATTCATTATAATAGAGGTTTTTTGCATTTCCCAACGAATGAAAAACAAAACGATATTGTTTTTACTGACGTTTCGCCATTTAATGCTGCTGCTAATAGCTTTCTCAAAGTATTATTAAACTGGAATTTACAAAATCCACTCAGCATATATATAACAGTGAGTTAGGGGGTGAGAAAAATATAGACTTAGTTCAACTTAAAAGGACATATTGAAAGTCAAAATAACAATGAAGATCGTTCAAACCAAATATCAAAGGTAATAGTATGTCTGTTATTATATCAAAACAAAGTTTACTAACTTGATCATCGTTCGTTAGTCTGGGGTCATTTTTGGTTGTCAAGCTGGCGAATTGGTAAAGATAACAAAATCAAGTGTAGATTGTTGGATTTTATCAGTGTGTAGAATTATGAAAGTAGTGTGTGTTTACATAGTGAACTTGCATATCACATTCGTGATGATTTTGCCACTTCATGGGGGAGGGAGGTGTTGTAGCCAGGTTAGATTCTGTTTTAGTCCATCATTCCTATTCAGGCAATTTGGATTCCATTTGATATGAAGTGCTGGCTTCTGATATTAGACGTTTTTTGTGGTTTCTGAAGTTTTTATGGATTATTTCAGTATTGTCAAAATCAATTTTGTGGCCTGATTCTATAGCATGTAGACCTATGGCTGATGATTTTTGAAGTTTTTCTAGTTCAATTGGATTTCTTGGTGGTCGAAGAGATGCTCTACGGTGTTCATTTCTTCTGATTTTGATTTCTCGAGATGTTTGACAACCAAAAATGACCCCAGACTAACGAACGATGATCAAGTTAGTAAACTTTGTTTTGATATAATAACAGACATACTATTACCTTTGATATTTGGTTTGAACGATCTTCATTGTTATTTTGACTTTCAATATGTCCTTTTAAGTTGAACTAAGTCTATATTTTTCTCACCCCCTAACTCACTGTTATATATATGCTGAGTGGATTTTGTAAATTCCAGTTTAATAATACTTTGAGAAAGCTATTAGCAGCAGCATTAAATGGCGAAACGTCAGTAAAAACAATATCGTTTTGTTTTTCATTCGTTGGGAAATGCAAAAAACCTCTATTATAATGAATATCATATACCCAATGCCCAAACTTTTTCAGACCGTTAAGAGTGAACTTGGTTTGGACATATATAAAATATATATTCGTCTAGATTTTTAATATTGCTTACTTCGATTTCCCTCATGGTAATCAGTTCATATTGCTAAGTGCCAAATGCTCTAGGCTTAATATGAAGTATTGGCGATAGCCTTCGTTCATCTATGGAAACCCACATTACTTACATTACAAACACTGTAAAGTATCCAATCAAACAGCAGATAAATGTCTAAAGGCTCTCTGATTGGTTAATCAAGGTCATTTATTGGCGGCATGTCTAAATCACGTCAAAAGGTATCTTATTTACCCTATTTCACGTTGTTTTAATTATTCAATTCCACCTCTGAATTGCAATTTGCACTCAAGCCTACTTTTCAATAGGATTCAAACTAGTACTATGGATATTTCCAGATAAACGATGAAAGAGCCTACCAGGTTATCAGGGAATGCTTTACATCGATTGTTAGCCTATTTGAAGATTATAAACATGCAATAAATACTTTGCAATCCAGTATGCTGAGAATTAAGCAATATGTATTCAAATGCTTTTCAGAATTAAGTTGTGATAACAGTAAACAATAAATAAATACCAAAGTCAAATGACCTTGAATCAACCAATCAGACCGCAGAGCACTACAAAAAATAGATGCTGTTCGCATAATCTTCGTTTTAAGTTTCACCCAGATTTGGTTTTTGACTTTTTTGGAGAATGGATTCGTTAAGTGAACTAAAACATGCCTATGTGGAGGGATAATAACTCTGCAAAAGTATTGCCGGTTTATTGCTGTTTGTGCCTTCAGATTCCACCGCTGTTAAATGAGGAAGTCCGTAAGAGTTAGTAAGTCGAACATTGTGGTCATTTCTTAGATACACTCGACTCGAAACAGAAACTCTGCTTTAATTAAATACTGTGCATTCATCACAACTGGCTACTGAAACGACCAGGGTCTGCTACAGCTGCAGAGACACAGAATACTCAAATGCCAATAGTGTAGTGTTATCAGCATTATCAGGATAGCGCGTCACAAAAGATCAATGGAAATACTTCTGTACTTGAAGGAATCGGTGTCGTCGTTCATATTGACGAAACAGTACTTAATGAACGAAAAATGAATCTCGCTCGGGGAGAAGAGCAGTCATGTTTGGGTGCTGGAATGCACGATACAAATCTTCGAAAAAGGTTTGTAGATTTCATCCCAAACAGAAGTGTTGACGTTTTAGTGCCGATTATACAGCGACTAGTCCACCCTAGCACTACCATTCACACACAGATGACTGGAGAGTTTATTCTCAATTATCATCACTAGGCTATATTCATCACAAAATCAATCATTCATCTGAATTGGTGTTTCCTTTAAGTGGAACCCATAGAAATTCTATTGAAGGATTCTGAGTCCACCTGAGAAAATGCATTAGGATGTTGAATGGTTTCCGAAATGATATGGTATATGGCCACTTTGATGAGTTTTCGCATCGATATTGGTTTGATATATCTAGAACCACTCCTATGAGAAGGTGGGACCTATTTCTGCAGCGTGTCAGGGATATATACCCTGTTTAAATCGTTTTTATTACATATATATATATCTTATAATTACACTTTTTTATAAATTAAATGCCACTTTTCACCTAGAAGAATCTGATTGGTTGTTTCAAGGTCGTCTGAGGTTGTTGTCTGTACTTTACGGTTACCAAAGTTATTATAATTAAAATTATGGAGAAGATTATCGTCAAGTTTTCGACATACCTGTATACAATTCAGGTAGAATACAGCCTAAACTCCACATATCAATTGGTAAATCATAAGGGATGCCTAAAATAATCTCTGGTGCTCTGTAGAAACGTGACTGAATATATGTGTAAGCTGGAATGCAAAAAAATCAAGTTAAAAGTAGAAAAAAATATTTGAAGACAAGAATGTTAGAACAATTTAAAACATGCGCTTTCAAGTAAACATTGTCGTCTTAATTCTTCAGAGTGAACTTATACGAGGATTCAACCCCCCCCTCCTACCCCACCTTGTTAAGAGCTTCATGAATGTATGAAATAAACTAGCTGTCAAAAGGCACGACATATATTCTTTCATATTAAGAGTATGTACACAGCTAAGGATATCAATATGACAGGGGAGATATGGAAATTCTAGATAGTGAGAACACACATCTCTCCCTCACTTATTCCTTTACGTTCCAAATGAAACATGGGAATTTAGGCTTAAGCTTTGAATTTTCAGTAGCAATGGCGTTCTTTTACAAGGTGAGGTTGCTTGCTAGCCTATTCCCCTACCTTCCTCCTTTGTCTAACTTAGTACTAAGGAGACGAGGTTAAGGAGTGAGTCGGCTGGCGTCGAACCTCATACCATGCGCGCGACAAATGAGTATTCTCCCATTGAACCAATGGAAACATGAATAATGCCAACGAATTCATAGAAGCCTGATAATCATAGGAATTAGCGATTAACAGATAAAATATTTTACACATGATTTAAAAAATAAATCAAATTCCAAGTCAATAAAAACGATCAGTATCGGTCTAAATTAATATGCAATCACGACAAGGGTTGACAGGAGATTTAATGATATCATCCATCGAAAAATAATTCAAGTCACTACACTACATATTGAAGTTTGTTCTGAAGCCATGTTTTCTTGGCTGAGGACACTGAAAGATTCACAACTGAACCACATCCCGTGAAAAAACGCAACTACATCAGAAATCATTCACCTGAAAGCCCCACACTAATAATTTGGGGATATGTGGTTCAAATTCTGCCTCAATACTACCATCATTCAACAAACCAATAAATAGTCTGTCAGCTGAGAACTATCTTAGTCAGTTTCACCGTCAACTAGCATTAATTTTACTCATATTTATTTGACCATGAATGTGTGTTTTATGGTTATTTTCTGCTCAGTGTTGTCCGGGTATTCATGAATTTAAGTTATTATTACCTAATTAGTTAGGCTGTAACGAAAGAAGATAAGGGCCAGGCAACATATCGTTTATTGAGGAATTCAAGAGATATTTATGTATATTTTAGTGTACGTTATTATTTGTTATTGTTATCAGAGAAACAGCGTCTTCTGATTGGTTGCTGTCTCGCTGAAAGTTAATCTGTTATCTGTTTGTGACCGTTTCTTCTAAGGTCAGACACTGTATCTGCGAACTGTATCGTATTCTTGTTTTTCTCTCATGACCCTAATTTGAGAAGTAAACATTGACGTGAATTGCTGTCTACCGATTTTGGCTAGCAGACAGATCTCATCACAAAGCCACTTCTGAAGTTAAGACAAACAATAACGTGAGTAGTATTTACTAAATAACTACATCTAAAAATTGAAGGTTCAACTTATTTCCTGACTTTAGAGGAATGTACAAACAATTTCTATGCATGAGTCTCTCTTTCCATATATTTTCAAAGTAATAGAAAACATCTGTAGCTCAGGTGGATGATTTCTGAAGTAGCCGCGTTTACTGATCTTGACGTGTTTTTGAATTGTGAATCTTCTGTTGTCCTCAGCCGTGGAAACACGGCTTCAGCACAAACTTCATTATGCAGTGTAGTGACTTGAATTCTTTTCCGATGAATGATATCATTGAATCACCTGTCAACTGTTGTCGTGATTGCATGTTAATTTACACCGATATTGATCGTTTTTATTGATTTGAAATTTGATTTACTTCTTAAATCATAAGGTCTATTCTAGATTAGTTGATGGATTCCATATGTAATAATTTGATATAAGAATAGAACTTGTTCACTGTGATAGGGTATAATTCCATTATGGGTAAAATTTATTTTGATAAATTCTCACTGATAAACACAATTCAAGCACAATTTATTACCACTCATAATCACATCAAGACAATACTCACACAAATTTCTGACTTCGTTTGCATAATTCCATTATTTTTTATCGCTTCACTTGATTGATAATAGTATTTTCCATATTTGCGGTATGAGTGATGAGTCATTGCATTCTATTGCACGTGTTGGGTGTAGACTCGATGAACAAGGATTCAGTGATCAACCTCTCTCGCTCTCCACCTACCTAGATTACTTCTTGGAATTTGAACCCTCTCCCACAATATTGTGTGGGTGTGTATTAATGCATGCAATGCGATGCAGTACTGAGTTGCTCTTTCTAAATTACTTATCTTCGTGGGGTCAAACATTCTAACCCTAGCCAAATTCTTATGTTCCGACAATCTGGCTACCTCTGATCTAGTGATTTGACTGACCTATGTAGTTAGTTGACCTAACTCATAGTGATTGCAAGGTATTTTGTAAATTATATTATTTTGTTTAACTGGGTCAACCTACAGGGTCTTTAGCTTACAGAGCTTATCCTGCCTGAGTGAGTTTGTAGGTTTGAATGCCACACAAGCTCCTGCTTTATTGAAAATCCTACCACGTATGGTGTCAGATGTCCCCTCCTTATATGGTATAACAGTGGATGACTTATATTCTCTCCTTTTTATGTTATCATTATTAGTTTCACCATTATTTTTATTTTACTTTTGGCCTTTTCTGATATTCCTAATGAATTTTATAGGATAGTTAGTTATTTAACACCAACGCCTCTTCTCTCTGTTTCATTTCATTGTTTAGGTTTTTTGATGTGCCAATTAGTGCCACTGCTCGGTTTGTTAGACAGCGCTTAACTAAGCCTGCCTTCACAGACAGATAACAGATGAGATGAATTAAAGTCTAAATATGAATTAGCAGAATGCGTTGGTTTTTATAAACGCTAGTGTGCAGTTTACCTTTTTCCGTTCATTTTGATTTTGCAACCTATCATAGCTAATTCTCCTTGTTCATTTTCTGATTCAAATGTGAATTTAATTCCCTTCGCTATTGAAATTATATGTGTCAAGAAGCTAGAGAGAGATATGTTCTGTTTTTAACACTGTGTGTGAAAGTGTCATCCACTTATCTCCACCACATTTTTGGAGTAGGATTAAATGTATTGAGAGCCATATTTTCCCAGCTGTCCATAAAGATATCTGTTACACTAGGGGATATTGGTGATCGCATTGCTGCGTCTTCTGTTTGTCTATATGTTTTGCCTTGGAATTTAAAGATAGTAGATGTGAGGCGTAGCTGAATTCCTCAAAAAATAATTTCCACAGTGGACATCTTTGTTCTATGACTAAGTTCGGGATCAGAACTTAGTTCTCTTTTAACTGCTTCTAAGGGCATATTGATTGGTATATTAGTGTACAGACCAGTTGTATCATCATTATCTAGTTGAATGTCATTTAGTTTATTTTTCATCTCATATGAATTAGTTAGTTAGCCAAGAGTCTGAACGACTTCGAAAGAGACATAATATTAGAGCTAAGTGTTTTGATAATTCATAAGTAGGGTCGTATGGGGTAACCTTGTTTATGTATTTTAATAGTACCGTGAATTCTACTAGCATTATTCATTTTAGGCGACAAGTTTAGCCATCAAGAATCACCCAGTGACGGCTTCATTCTACGTATTAAAGCCGCTGTAGATTATTCAACCTTTCATTATTGCATGGTGGATTTCACCATTATTGTATCTACAGGCCTCATTAATTTCCTCATATGGACCCGTCTCAATATGTTTAGTGACTTTCTTGATATAGTCAGATTTATCCGAAACTACTCTAGAGTTTCCCTTACCAACTTTTGTGATGACGAAGTTTTTATCCTGTTTTAGACTATAAGAATAAAACTTGTGCACTGTGGTAGAGTGTAATTCCATTATGGGTAAACTTTGTTTTGATAAAGTCTCACAGTGTTATACAGTAATGTTTACTGATGACGTTTCGAGCACAATTTATTACTGCTCATAATCATATCAAGGTATTCACACGACTTCTTAAATTCATTTATATAGTTCTATTGTTTTTCATCGCTTGATTTTCACTTGATTTTGATTGGTAATAGTATTTTCCATATTTCAGGTATGAGTGACGATTCATTCCTATTGCATGTGTTGGGTGTAGACTCGATGAACAACGATTCAGTAACCAACCTCTCTCTCTCTCTCTTTCCACCTACCTAGATTACCTTTTAGAATTTTAACTCACTCCCACCCTATTGTGTAGTTGTGTGTTAATGGATTGCAATTGCTGAGCTTTTTTCTAAATTACTTATCTTCTCGGGGTCAACCATTCTTACCTTAGCTAAATTCTTATGCTCTGACAATCTGACTACCCGTGACCTACTAGTTTGACCTATGTAGCTGACGTAGCTCACAGTCATTGCATGGTATTTTGTGAATAATATTATTTTGTCTAATTGGGTCAACTGGGTCCTTTAACCTACAGAGCTTGTCCCTGAGTGAGTTTGTAGGTTTACTGTATAACACTGTTTTAGACTAATTAGAGCTAATCTTTCCGAGTTTGTTAAGTTTGATTTTGCTTTCTTTTGATTTTTGAGGATTAACGCACATTGTGCTCAACAACTGCACTGCATGCATTAACACACAGCCACGCAATAGGGTGGCAGAGGGTTAAGAATTCTAAGAAGTAATATAAGTGGAGAGCGAGAAAGGTTGATTACTGAATCCTGCCTGGTTCATCCAGTCTACACCCAACATAATAATAATTCTTTTAAATAATAATTTTTTGCTTTATTCCAGAAACATTACTAATCATACATGCAGTGGGACGCAATGACTCACTAATCGTACCGGAAATCTGGAAAATACTACTACCAAACAAGTCATGCGATTGAAAATAATGGAATTGTACAAACGAAATTAGAAAGTTGTGGGAGTATTGTCTTGATATGAATATGAAATAATTTCCCTCTTAGCCGCTAATTCCTGCATTAATTTCCCATGATAAATTTGAGTAAAGTAAGAACAACAGTGGTTTGTGCAGA